TATCTACTGTATTTTACTTTAAATTTATCTACCTAAATTTTTTATTCTATACATATTTAACCTTTTTAATTTTAATTCTTTATTATTCAATGCCACAAATCCATATAATCCGCCCAGAAGACAGCTGAGGCGCTGGCCAAGAGACTTATTGCATTGAGCTACTTGCTGCATTACCCTTCTTTTTTTTATTATTTTTATTTTTTTAAATTTTTATTCCGTTAATATGTATGTGTTATTTTACTACTGTTCTTTTTTTTTTTTTTTTTTTTTTTTTATTACTATTATTTTTTTCTTATGCTATCATTTCTTGTCCTTGATATCATATTTGCTGAATACCGAGGTAGATGGCAAATTTATTGTGAGCCAGGAATATGTATAACTAATAAATAAATAAAATTTTAAAAAACTGTATCTTACTGTGAGCATCTTTGGTTCATTACTGTTTCTTGGTCAGAACAGTTGTACAAAGAGATGATTTGACCGAGCTCACGCTCAACCGCCAGGTTTTCTTCTTAATTAATAATTTAATTAAGTTTATCCACTTTATGGAGGCTGGGTGTGCCCCAAAAGAGTCTCCCCACCCCAGGAATGATCTATGGCCAATGAAACATAATTAATAAATTATCTGCCATTAGCCGGATTCGAACCTGGAGCCTTGAGCATTGGAAGCTCAGCATCCTACCACTTTGCACCACTCTCTATATTTATTTTTTAAGTAAGCGAAATTCCTTTGAATGTTATATTTAATATTTAATTAATCTGTTAGAGCCACACCAAGGTTTTAATAAAGACATCCTTACACTATGACAAGTTTGGCTGGTAGAGACCACCTTGTGTGATAAAATATGTTGTGTTCAGAAGATTGGTATAATAAATAAAATAATATATAAAATATATAATTGGTAAATGGTTGACTGTCGTGGATAATGAAGAGAAGAATAGTTGGGGTGGTCAGTCAAAAAAGAAGTCAAAAATAAATGATAATATTTATTTTACATATGCCAACATTTCTATAGAATATAAATGGTAAAGGGACATACAGTAGAATAGATAATAGCAGAGAGAAAAGAAACAAGAGAAAACATATCACACTGCTTTGTGATATATTACTGCTCTCAAGGAAAAGTAAATAAATGGGTAGTTAATTAAATGAAAAATAGAATCTAGTTGAGAAAGTTAAAAGGTCTTAGAGTTTTAGAAAACATTATAATGTTTTATTATTAAATATATAAAATATTTAATGAATTATTGGAGGAAGTTAGTCTACTGTTCTACATACCATGGGTGATAAATATTCAGGATACAGTCATTATAAAGTTTTTATTAGTGCCAACGTTTCAACCCAAATATGTGGGTCATCATCAGGGCTTGTTTGGATGTTTAAAGTACCTACTTGTTTTGATGTTATATATACATAAATTATAAATGTTTCAAGGGGAAGACTTAAGCCAAGTTTCATTAAAATCATTAAAGCTGTATTGGAACTACAGTCTAAAGCGAATCACGTTTTTAGGCCTCCATTTAAAAATGAAAGGCCTGATATAATGAAACTTATACAAAAACACTTCTAAATATTATTGCAACTTTGTGTCAAAATTAAAAAGGAATTGGTGAAGAACTGTGTGAGATTAGTGGTTTTGAACAAATTAATATTTATATATTTATCTACAAATTATTTCATATTTTTATTTATTTATTTATTAATAGCTATTGACTAAAGCTCGTCAATAGCTATTAAACAAAAAAAGAAGGAAGAAAATTGGTTGAATAATAGAGGAGAAAATGGGGCTGAACGGTTTTGTGTTTGGCTATTTGTATAATGATATACATGTCACAAAGGAAGTTATATTTGCCAGTTTCAGTATTTGTCATATGACTGCTCTAGAAAGGTGTTCCTCCAGATTATAGATGGGCAGGCGAATTGAGAATCGAATCGAAGAGTAGATTCCTTTAAAAGAATCGTGCTCTCAAGTAATTTACATGAAAGAATCACAATTCACTTGGAATCGGTCGATTAAATTGGTATTATTAAAAATAGAAGTACAAGAGAGAGAAAACAACTGTATAAATATATAAATAAATTATATAGAGATAGAAAAATCTTTTTTCCATCCATATAAATACCTCCCATCCTCAATCCGACCGATTCTTCAAATGCCATTCTAAAAATCCAAGAAGATATTAATAGAATAAATGAATGGGCAAACCTCAACAGGCTCACTCTGAATGCTAAGAAAACGAAAGCCATCTTGATTGGATCCTCCGTACTCCTCAAATCCTTCCAAGCATTCCTCAATCTTCTCCTGAACAACTCACCTATCTTATTCCATACTACCATTAAAAACTTAGGTGTTACTTTTGATCAACCCTCTCCTAAAAACCACACATCTCCCAAATTTCCCATCGCACTATCTCCACCCTAAAACAGTTCAATCGCTTACATTATCTCCTTCCATATAAGTCCCGTCAACTCCTAGTTTCCTTCTTGTTTTCCCCCACTTCGACTATGGCTGTATGTTGGACTCTCAGGAGATCTCGAGGCCAAACTGAAACGTCTAAGAGGTACACATTTTATCCAGAATTACACCGAGTTGAAGTGACTCTATCCATCCTATCGCTCAGTACTTCCTAACTATTTTCGTTCAGTATTTTCCATAGCTTACAATTTAAATACTCCATCCAATCCCATCCTACTAGATCTCACACTTCCGACCTCTATCCCTCTCCTCACCGAACTGCTGCGTTTGACAAATCATTTGCAATTCAAGCCGTCTCCTGGAATTCCATCTCTGCTGATATTCGACACGCACAATCAGTTTATTCTTTCAAACCCCTCTTTAAACACCCACTCCTTTCTCATTCCACCTGATCACGAAATATACCTAAGAGAGCTATCTAAGTACTCCCAGAAAATATTTCTGTTATTTTAGTTTTCTCTGTTTGTATTATGTACGATTATTATGTGTGTATATTTACGCTTTTTATGTCTTTTTCTCTCTTTCTATCGGTATTTTTACTTTTAAATAACCAATATTGTAAATATCTACTCTATTTATGACCACTTACACATGAATTCAGCACTTATAATTTGTTCTAAAGGGACAAAAGTCCCAGAATAATAAATTATATTTTCATTTCATTTCGTGTCACATTTTTGTATCTGTTCAGGAAGCTGATTTTCTATAACTTTGAGGTATTAAAATTTGTTTCTTAGTTGCTAAATATTTAATAAAAAAATGGGCATGGTGTTCTTTGCATCAGGAGTACAGAAATAATCATGGGTGAAGTAAAAAAAAGTGTATACTTTTTGAGTTATTGGCAAATAAAGTTTCTTTTCCTTCATAACATTTTTGCCTAAATTTTGAGGAGTATATGATTATTTTTCCCACCTGAAGGAGAAGAAAATCTTCAAAATGATGCCTCTATCCCTGCATTTGATGAAGAGTAAACAAAGAAATGATGTACTGACAAAAAAAATCATTGGTAAATATATTGGATTGACAAATAGGTCCTTTCTGTTTTTCAGGATGAAATAAAAATCGTATGTATTATAGACAACATTAATTTTAATCTGCAATATATTGACCATTATTTAATATTACTTTTTTCCGTTTTTCCACTAACCGCATAATGCCATGTTCATAGAATGTTTGGAGTTTATTGTTAAAAAACTGATCCAAGTGGTTTTTGTTGTCCTCTTCCTTTTGGAATTTCTTTCCATTCATGGAGTTCTGTAGAGCCGGGATAAGTGGTAGCCACTTGGAGCTAGGTCTGGTAAATTGGGACGGTTGTGCAAAATGTTCCATCCAAGACTCAATAATTTATTGTGAGTGACCAATGAGGTGTGGGGCCTTGTGTTGTCTTGGAGTTGTTAAAAACACAACACCCTTCCGATTTACCAGTTCTGGGTTTAATCATTATCAAATATGGGTATAGAGTTGAATCAATTGTTCGTTCTGATGGCAATAGCTCATAGACATAGCTCATAAATAACACCCTTGAAATCCAACCATATGGAAAGCATCATCTTCTTCGGATGCAATCCGTGTTTTGACATTCTTCTAGGAGCCTCATTACTAGGTCTCCAAGATTTTCTACGGACTACATTATTGTAAAATATCCATTTTTCTCCTCCTGTTACCAAACTTTTCAAAAATAGGTCGTTTTGTTGCTGTTTCTGTAGTGAATCACAAACAGAAATGCATGTTGCCAAGTTGACTTCTGTTAGAGAGTGAGGCCCAAACATTAAGCCTGGAAAGATAGCTGAACTTGTGCAAATGGTTTTATACACTTTTGTGCGACACATTTAGAGCCACAGCAATCTCTCATCAGATTGGATGGGATTTTGATCAACAATATTCTTAACATTGCTCGTTTCAATTTCATGTGGGCGACTCTGTTTGACCATTGATCATTGAGCATCATTGATGTCAACATTTCCTGAATGAAATTTGACAAACCCATTTTGACAGGTGCGTTTGTTTAAGGTATCATCCCCATAAACACTGTAAATTTTTCTATGAGCTTCTGCAGCATGCTTACCTTTTTACAATAATGCAACAAAATATGCCAATAATGAATATTTTTTTTCATATTCACAATGCAATAGCAAACACAATACTAAGCTAGTTTCAACAAGTATTAACAGGTATAGTTGTTGGCATATTACAAACAGGATAAAGAATCCACCTTAGGGATTAATTCATCAGATAAGAAGTGTATCATAGTGACATAAAAATAAACAGAAAAACCGAAAGGACTTATTTGCCAACTCAATACAACAAAATATAAAACAGTAGCTTGACACCAGTTACCCTCTGTAATACTGGGGAAATAAATAAATAAATGAAATAACATTGTTTTTCTGGTCAAAATCCATCCACTGAATGATCCTGGTTTTTATTAATTTTATGGCTACTGGTTATATTATATTTTTTACTATCTAGTTTGTTGGTTATATGACTTTAAAAGTGTATATTATATCTTCTAATTTCTTTTAGGTATTGCATTCCTCCTGAGCATGGTCGAAGACTTGAAAGACTTGCAACTGGATTTTTTCCAGGAAATAGCAAATCTTGTCCTGCTTTTCTTAGACATAAAATGACTATTATCTCTCCACATGTACTTAAGCAGTATTCTATACCCTTTAATAAAGTGAGTAATTTAATTTCACATCTTCATTTTTGCATATTAATCTTTATAATTAAATGAAGAAATAAAATCTTTTGTTAATTCAACCTTGCTAGTTCAGTAGTTTTGTTAAAATAAATGAAGAGCTTACTTCTTTCAAAAGGACACATCTGATTTCAATATTTTTTTTTTCAGTATGGCTGAAAATACCAATGTGGATCTATTATATAAATATCATGTTTTCTGTATACAGTTTAAATAGAACAGACATTAAAAAAAGTCATAAACATATTTTTTTATTCAAAACTATAGGATACCTGGAGATATATATTTTTGTCAAAAGATGTAAATTTGATCGTATATGAACAAAAAAAAAAAAAAAAAAAAAATTGCAGCTATGAATCAGTGGTGATTTTATTATTATTATTACTATATTATAATATGAAGGATGTCCAAGTAAGGGATGATAGTTGGGGTAAATAGTTGTTTTAAAAATCAATATTGGTGAGACATTACAGTTACCCTGTTATGTGGGAAAATGAAAACTAGACAAGTGGTAAAAAATAGTGCACCTTGAATTTTACATATAAAACTGCAGATTAAATAAATATTTTTGAGCCTGGAGTGATAACAGGTCAAAAGGGATTACCATGCATTAATTCTTTTGGAAAAATTTCATAATTCTCTCTAGGATTAATGTTAAAAGTATTTTTTTTAATTCATTTATTTAGACGTATAATAATCTGTCACTTGGACAATAATTATAGTGATATATGAACATATTCACACCATATATACAGAAAACATAAAATTAATAAAAGTAAAATAATAACTAAGTAATAATCATAAACTATGTACAGTAAAAAATAAAATAGCCTAAAGATGAGTAAATTTATTAACACAGTCATACCTATATACAATATATACACAATGTGGGAGGATGTCTGATTTTTCCTGACAGAGTAGGGTGAAGTAATTTCTATAAATGTAACACCTAAGGTGAAACTTGTTTTCTTTTTTTTTTTAAGCCTAAACCCCCTCCACCGTCCTTCATCAGAGGCCCAGTTAACTGGAAACTTTCATCAAATCCTTTCCGAAAAAATTGATCTCAGAATAACTCTGAAAACTCCAGAAGACCTCGATAATGCCGTACATTCCTTTACCACCACTATTCAGCAAGCAATCTGGACTGCTCCCTCTCCAAATCTCTCCTCAAAAATTCCTAAGAAAAATAATTGACCTCAATATCAGATACACCTAATTCACATCAACGGAGCATCGACTATTGTTCGGAGGACTTTGGACTGAAAGGATTAGATGCGTTTAATGTTAGAAAATTTTGCTGTTCCCCAAAGTTCAAGTCTGTGGATCCAAATTGGTTTCAGGATTGTCTTGTTGATCAGTAATTTGTTGTCAATTGAAAGTTGAGATTTTCTAGTCAGTAGTCTGTATAATTTGCCGTATTGTCTAGTATGTGGGATCTCTTTGGTCTAAGAGAAAGCCAAGATACCGGACTGTTTCTGAAAAAGGAAGTTGGATGGAATCATAGTGGACTGATAGACAGAGTCTGTGCCGGAGTGTGAAGGTAATGTGTTTGCATTTGGATTTGTTTTCTTTGATGTACCATTTATTACTACACCAGTGCTCAATCAGGGAGAGGTGTCTTTATAGATGCTATTTCGGAATCTGAGTTGGATGATAGGATGCCTCACTCTAAGGCTACAGTGTCATCTTTGTTAGTTTCTTCAAAACTTTAAAGGTGACACGATAACAGCCACAACCCGCCTTCATGGCATGGTCTTTCAAACTGTCAAGGCTGGAGTCAGGGATTCTGAAGATAGCAAATAATCCTTGTTCATTTTCTTGAGGTAGTGTAGATTCCGGTTACAGACACCCTCAATGGTGGTGTTCTGCAATGTTATGTGCTTCCTCCGTAAGCATCCTCCTAGGAAAGAAGGACCTATCTTAGATTGGTTGATGCTTGGAACTACTTGAGTGAGCGAAGCACATGTCTCATTATTTAGGCACGGGACGATACGTCCTCCTATTTTGTAGCTAATGCCATCAAATAATGTGTGTTGTTTGCCGTTTTTGTCTAGCTCATCGATTTTTTCAAGGATGAGTTCTTTCAGCAATTTGGTGGCGGGTGAGCTGGACCTGTGGATAGTTACTGGGAATCACCCAAACCAACCTGTCTCTCAAATTCAAATGTGAAGTGTAGCTTCTGCCATTGGTCTTCCGGGTCTTTTGGCCTACTTAGGCACTTGCCTTTGGGAATCTCCTTTGACGCCTTCTTATAGTTCTTGAGAGCTTTGGTGTGACAGGAATTGCTTCCTGAGAGGCAGAAACCCCGATGGCCACCCTTCACAGAATGAAGAAGGTTTTTATCTTAGGAGCCTAGGATAGGCTAATTTTTACTTTCATTTGCGTATATATGTAATATATAGTTAGGATAGGTATTATGATCATGAACATTTTTGAATCTGAGTTTTCAACGGGAATTCACGTTTTGGTGGAAAAATGGTCTGTGTGTATCTTAGCAGTCTAGCTCAAAAACGAAAAGCCAAAAAAAGAGAGTGTAGTGCCTTTCCCACTGCTTGTGAGTTCCCAGATCTCCTTATCCCTATCAACGCCGGACAAGGAGTGTCTTTAGGATGAACCGACTGTCTGTTTTTCCAGCGCTCTCTAGCAGTTTTCATCCTAACTACGTGCTTTCCTTCTCGCACAATCATTTAAATTAGACTCCACCCCTTGTCTTACCTTTAATGCTAAAATGTGTTTCCCAGCTTATAAATTTACTATTTTTTGAGCTTAAATAAGTAGGGAAACACCCCCAAAAAACGGGCTACCTCATTAGAGAAACTATACGCTGTTTATGTACATATAAAATAATATTTAATATGTAACGTATGAAAATATTGGTAATACATCATTAATAATATAATTATTAATATTTATGTTAATATATTATTATTTTATCAATAAATATATATATATATATATATATATATATATATATATATATATATATATATATATATAAAGGTATTATTTATTTATTTTCTTGAAGAAAAATAATTTTTTGGAAATATAAGAGCTTTCAAAAAGTATCATTACTTTTGGTTTGCTTATGTTCACACACGTCGGAATTTTTCTAAAATCCTTTAATTTTAATAGAAAATAAGAATATCATCATTTTGGAATTTATTTCTTAAATCTGTGTCATTCTGTAAATCTATTTATTCCATTTAGTAACTCATCTAAAACTGTTTCAACGTCTAAAATAAATGGTGAAGAAAAAATGTTGTTAAAACTAAACGGGAAGATTACAGACGTGGGTTCATCAATTTCAATGAAAAATATTTGTGATACTAGATCCAAAAATATTTCACCCATGTCCAAGGGTTCTTGCTTGTGAAAAAAAAATAGTTTTATAAAATTTTATTGTTTTTTATGTTACTGTTTTCTAATTTTGCTTTGCATGGATATATATGTTATTATGTATCAATCAATTTCTTTTTTTTGTATAATATAAGTAAAACATATTGCTAATTGTATTAAACTAATTGTAATGTATAAAAAATCACAAAAACCCAAAGGCGCTTCCAGTAAAGTAGGCCAAATAAATTTTTGTGATGAAAAATCTATTCAGATTCATTTTTAGGACTCACTAAAACTCTTAAATACGAGTTTACTTTGTAATAAAAAAATATACTTTTTTCGATTCAATTTTATGAGTAGATTTTTTTTTCATGCCGTTCACTAAAATATTCATAACTCCTCAGGATTTTTTCCTGAGTCGACGTTACAACAACGGTTAAAAGCTCAATTATTGTTCTTTAAAACCATATCAATAACTTGTAGATTTTATGGCTTTATAAGTAATAAATAAATAAAAACTTCCCAAAAGTTTTTATTTTGTATCTCCAAGCCTAATTTATTTGCGGCCGTCTAGTTTGTGCTATTTTGTGTGTATTATAGATCCCTAAATTCATGCTAATTTTCATGTAGATGAGTGGAGCCTTATCGCATTTTTTGTAATTATCGAAGGTCCAGTCCAGGCAGAAAGATCCTGCAAAAAAAAAAAATTATTTTGCGATCGGTATGGAAATTCGTATTTAAGGGTTTTTCGATGTGAGAAATACATATGTCAACTTTGTTTCACCTTAAAAAAATATTTTAACCCACTTTATTCTTAAGATCAGTACTAATTGCTTCAATATTGTACTCATACTATAGCTATTATATATATATATATATATATATATAATATATATATATATTATATTATATTATATATATGAAATAAATATATATATATATTTTTTTTCTTAGCTGGACTAATAAATACATTTATAATTTGAGGAAACTGTATTTCAATATCAAAAGTAAATACGAATTTCATCTTTTCATTTGTTTTCTCATTTTAGGGTCGAATATCGGCAAAATACCAGATTTTTTGCATGTACTATTACTTTTGATATTGAAATATAATATATGCAGATCAGAAAAAAAAATAGAAAAAAAAAAAAAAAAAAAAATATATATATATAATATATATATATATATATATATATATATATATATATATAATACAGCTATAGTATGAGTACAATATTGAAGCAATTAGTACTGACCTTAGGAATAAAGTGAGTTAAAATATTTTTTTTATGGTGAAAAACATTATCCCCCGTAAAGAGTTGGGGAGATTCCCGCACCCATCTTCCTCTCTAGACCTCCCGTTACCCTACCCATTTTCCCCCCTTCAACTAGTTTTAGTTAGAGTTTTATCACTTTAGATCTGATATTGTATTTAAATATTTAGGCATCTATCGTCCGTTTATTCCTAAATATTGTCATGTAACTTCCCTCTGTGATATTCCAACAGTATCCATTACTATTTCATTGTACTTGTGTGAAAGAGAAAATGAAATATAAAAATATTTCATAGATACGTTTATAACCTTAAATATATTTACTGTAGTTTTATAACTCTAGATCTGATATTGTATTTAAATATTTAGGCATCTATCGTCCGTTTATTCCGAAATATTGTCATGTAACTTTTAAGAAAATTAAATTAGTGAATAATTTGATGAATCTTCCCTTTGCGATATTCCAACAGTATCCACTACTATTTCATTGTACTTGTGTGAAAGAGGAAATGAAATATAAAAATATTTCATAGATACATTTATAACCTTCAATATATTTACTGTAGTTTTATAACTCTAGATCTGATATATTTAGATATCTATTGTCCATTTATTCTGAAAAATCATCATGTAACGTTTTAGAAAATTAAATTAGAGAATAGTTTGATGAAATTACCTTTTGTGATATTCCAACAGTATCCACTTACAATTTGAGTGACAACTTTTGACCTATCTATGACAGATAATGTAAATATCCTAATTCCGTTTTAGTAAACTTTGCAATGGAAAATAACAGTTTAATGACTAACAGTTGTACAATCCATAATCAACCGGTGATAAAATAATAGGACTTTTGTTATTTTAATGGTATTTATGATTTGTTAGCTGTAATTTTTTAGCTTTAGTTCAGTTAAAAATTCAATTAAAAAGGTTTATTATAGCCCAACATGGCCAGAAAATAATTTCTATTCAAAGTTGAGCGGTAAGTGAAAGTTGTGTGTTGGGCACACCAGATTTTTTGGAAGGTTGCTGGAGATAAGGCAATAGCACTAACCTCAGCTGTGGTCACCCCATTTGCTGCCAGTCATTCACTTCCTACTTGAAGCCTGTTCCTTGACTTTATTTGTGAGAGACATAAACAAGTCACCCATTGACGCCTTGTCAAGAGTAATGTCCAGGGAAAACCCTGAAAAATTTAAAAGATGATGGTCGGAGGAGGATGTGTCTTCTTCAGTTTAGGTGTGATTTGTTTAACTTCTGTGCATTTTCTTCCCACAAGTTTTGGGGTCTTACAATGAGGTGTCTCCTAGTGCCCCAAGTGAGTCAATAAAGGACAGGATTTTTTTATACACCCTCTGTCATTCATCCACAGCGCAAGCTCCCTCCACCTATCTTGGGTGTGTAGTAAGACCATCGCAACTATCACATGGATGGAAGCGAATGGACCTCATCTCCATCGTCCACGAGTTCCATTGAACTCCTGGGGAGCACCAACATAGATATGACAGTAGGCGTTGCTATGCATAATGAGTTTTGAGATTTCATAAGCAGTGGGTAGGACACTAAAACATGATCATTCCGAAAAAAATGGGGGAGATACCCTCATCCATCTCCCTCTTAGGAGGATGTCATCCCATTGCTCTTACCATCTGTCGCCCAAATTGAAAAGTTAGTGGATGTAAAGCTAATGTCAGAATTAATTTTACAGATGTCACAATTATTTCACAGATTTCCAGAGGTCCATGGACCCAAATTAAAGAACTTGTGTTCTTGAGCTTTCTAGATATTATTAATCTAGCAGAACTACAATATTTTAATTTGTTTTGAAGTTTAATTTAAGTATAATGTAGAACTTTGAAAGTAAAATATTTCCCTATCTTTGCAAAAATCAAATAATATATATTTTTTTTTAAAACAGCTACTTACTGCTTGATATTATAATTAAAATATGTGATAAATATTCAGTAATTGAATTATAAAATGATTGATGAGTGAGGTAAAACCTAACAAATGTCAAAATATGTAGTGATAATTATCAAAAGATTATGATGATTTCAATCTGTTACAGATCACACAGGAAGAGGGAGAGATAATGATTACTTTTCCTTATGGCTATCATGCTGGTTTTAATCATGGTTTTAATTGTGCAGAATCAACTAATTTCGCCACAACACGGTGGGTTGAATATGGAAAACGGGCAATACAGTGTTTATGCAGGTACATTCTTTATTGGCTTATTTTATTTACAGCGTATAATTAATTACAAGCATGGTAATCACAGAGGCAGAGTAGTGATAAAGAGGGGTGAGTGGAGGAGAGGGGATGGGATAAAATTTTATTTTGTGTCATAACCATGAAATGAATTTTGACATTCCCTCTCAGATTAGAATAGGTTTGGTTGTACCTATTGAACATGAAGTCCATGAAGCAATCGGAGATTTCTTGGGAACTTCTTAATGTATAATGAATAATATGTTGAAGTTAGTGATTAAAGAAAAAAGAATAACTGATAATAAATAGGGAAAGATTTTCACTTGTGATACATGGACTGAATAGGTATACAAACCCGAACGAAGGTTGTCATCCAAATTTATTAGGCTGACTAAAAAGTTTATTATATGAGCTAACTTGGATATGGCAAAATTATCACTAACAACTGAGGCATTTCATCAATAAATATGAAGAATATATTAGCAAGAGGAGAAGTGGTCAGGCGATAGTTTACTTCAGAATTGGGATAGAAGTTTAGAAGGATAGAAGACGGTATTGATCACAGGTGGAGTACCTGCGCCCTCTAGGCCACATTTGGCCTCCGTGATATTGTTGTGGCTTCCAAATGTTTTAGTACGATCTTCTTTAATCTAGCACTAGCATTAATTAATTTTCATTATTTAGGTTTCAAAAATTTGAAAATCTATAGAATTAAGTTGAATACATTTATATGGTAATGTATTTACTTATTAATAAAAATAGCAAATAACCTTACTGTGGCCTCTAATAATATAAAGTTCTCCAACCTATGGTATAAATCAGAGGTTCCCAAACTATGGTCCACGAGCCAGATCCGGCCCATGAACTTTTATATGATAGGGTTGTAAAATTTGAATAACTAATTGAAAATATCAAATTACTCACAAACTAGGTTACTACCACATTTATTAAATGAGTTTTTTTTGCTTATAAAGCTCATTTGACAAATGAAGTGTCATTTATAGAAAACAATATATTTTTTTTCATCACTAGGCTTGGCCATCATTAACAGGACTTTGGTGGAGATTTTGATGTTGCACGCATGCCTGTGGTTTAAAAAGTTTGACGACCCCTATTATAGATCATAGATTGGAAACCTTTTTATCCTTAGAGACCGCAGCAAGGTTAGACATTGATTTTTTTTTTTTTTTTTTATCTATGCCTCTCTTTATCGCCTTCCGCCATCAGAGATCTTACAGCCCAGTACCATTCCAATTTGGATAATGTCTTATAATAAATTGATAGACATTGATAATGGAGGCCATAATAATTGTTTATTATTTCCTGTTGCTATTTTTTTTTATAAGTAAATACAAATTAGAAACACACACATATATATATATATATATATATATATATATTCAATTAATTTTCTAATTTTCATAGCATAAATAAATAAATATTAATTAATTCTAGCACTAGATAGATTAGTAAAAATCATACAAAAACTAACGGAAGCTGCAGCTAGCTCATGGGTCCTCAAGGATTCTGGTTCTTCTCCGGTATAAATGGTGAAGGAATAAAAAATAAAGTACTTCAACCTGTAACTGTTGTAAAGCCAATTACCGTTTTATCCATTATATATAGCATTATACCATACTGCTGTAAATCTGATTTTGGGATTTATTGTGGATGCAAGAAGTCAGGGTTGCTTTGTTCAAATTAGTACGAGCATTCCAATCACAAACAAAGATCAAGTGGCAGTTGACTATAACTACAAATAAATATAAGTATAATTTAAATTAAATGTTGGTGTTTTTTATTAAGTGAAACTTTAGTTGATAAATAACAAGAGTATTAGTAACTAAAATGTTACCTAATTACTAATTATAAATAAAATGTCTGAGGGAGGTCCATGATGCTGTGAATGATAATTATTAGTAGAATATTATTAAAAGTTTTCCAAAATCCAGAGCTAGTTGTTATTGCAAGTATGGAACATGGCAATTCCATAGGTGATGAATAATATCTTCAATATTAAGATATAAGAACAAAACTGCCCTGAACCAAAATCTGCATATAATTAAAGTAACTAACAAACCAAACTTTTTTAATCCGAATGCTTTATAAAATTTTAGTCTTCTAATTTAGTAGTTACCATTAGAGTACGATTTTAAATCAAATTTTACTATCAGTTCATATATAAGAAGTAAACTTCATCTGTATAAATAACAAAGAGTATTAAAACCGATACCGTGAGTAAAAACAGGTATAAAGCTGCAAAAATAATTGTAGAAAATATATTTCACAGCTAAAAATAAAAACCCAACAATAAAATGGTCACGTTAAAAAAAGTTTATCCCTCTCCTCCCTCTTTAATTCTATTCCTATTCTCCCTATTCATTCCAGTTCAGTCTTCAGTAATTGGTCAAATTATTGATTAAAATGTGTGTTTGTGTTATATATATTACATTCCTGGATTGTTGTTCTGAAAATTAATAATTAGAATTATTTACATAAGTCTATAATTATTAGATTAATGTAAATTGTAAATACCTAGAACGATTAAATGAAAAATCATAATTATAATTTAATAAAAATAATGTAATTTTTCAAAAATAACTCAACAGCCACACTGCAAAAGGCTGTAGAATAAAAACTAAACATTTTCAGGAGACAAAAAAAAAATTATTTTTGTTCTGTGAGCTTTATATTTTCGGTTCAATTTTTTTTTCAGGCCAAAGAAAAAGATGTGATGCTCTATGTAACTTTTTTAATCGTATTTCTGCCAAATAATCTTTTAGAGCCATTACTTCTAACTTATAGCTTTTTAGTTACTTTGAAAAAAAAATATTAGGTAAAAACAATCAAATTTATTTTATTAATAACCATAATTTTGTTAATAAGACAAAGTCAATTTCCAAAATGTAGAATAACAATACTTCAAATGAAAATTTGTAAAACGTTTGACTGGAAAGCGAGTATTTGATTGGGTTATTCACTTTTTTGTCTTCCAATATTGGGGTGGCTCGAATGGAGTGCAGGACTAGTCTACGAAAGTTTCATTTTCAACATACTCAACTTTATATGGACTCTGTTTGATTCATGAATGCTTCGTAAGTTCTAGTTAACCTGCAGATATGTAGTTCACTTTTTTTCTGAGCTTCTTGTGGTTTCGAAGATTCATTAGTTTGAAAAGATGAAACTAGAGTTTTTTTATCATCTCGTGTTAAATTTTCCAATTAATGAAATCAATTCTCTGTCTCTCACTATCTGGGATTCAGGGGCGTTGTAGCTTTTTTTCCAGTCAAACTCTCGTTTTGCAGTTGCAGAAGGTTTCGTTTGTTTTGAGGGCCGTTCAATATTATATTCCCACTTACCACTCTCTTCTTTGCTTTGTGTAGCTCCATGGTAAGTGGTGCTGACCTCAGGGCAGAAGAACTCAGATATTTGCCCAGAGGTGCTGGGCTGGAAGTGCCGTCACTTATGAAAAATTTAAAAAAGAATATAAAGCATATGAGAAAAATTAATTTTAGCCTATTAATACTGTAGTCTATGCGCAACATTTAATACATTCTATATTTACATGACCCCCTTTCATTGAGCATTTCATTATATTTTTTCGGTAACCACACAATCTTTATAACCTTCACTGTAACTTACAGTTTTTTACAACCAAATTTGCTGGTTTTTAAGTTACAGGTTTAAAAATAAAAGCCATAGAGAAGAAATGAAACATTGTAGATTTCATTTTGTGGTATCAGAATATACATCGAGACAAGATTGACCAGAAAAGCTCAAAACCTCATTTTCAAAAGAAATTGTTCTAACAGGCTTTTGCAGTGTGGCTGTTGAACTTATAAATATAAATTAAAAATAAAATATAAATTTAATTCCATATTCCATACCCCATTGTTTATATGTTTTGTTTAGGCCAGATAATGTTAAAATTTCCATGGATACATTTGTGAAGAGATTTCAACCAGAAAAATATGATCTCTGGTTGACTGGAAAAGACTTTGGACCTCATCCTGAAGACCCAACGCGGTGTACTCTTGCACCCCCTCCTTCTTCAAATGATATCCTCTGTAGTAAAGGGTAAGTTATTAGTTATATATAAGGAAAGTATCTTAAGAATGTTTTCTTTCATTTCTAAAATCATTAATGAATGAAATATCAGTGTTAGTGTGATTGAAGTAAATGAAGAATAATAATATTTTATAGTTGTATTTGGGTAGCTATATAATATTTCATGTAAAATTAGGTTGTATTGTTTTTAATTTATTATTTTATGTAAATATAATATAATGTATTAGGATAGTTTTGTTCTGAAAATAAAATTAAGAATGAAATATTTAAAGAAAAATAACATTTAATGTGTCCTGAAACAAGTTTGGATGTCTAAAAGTGAATTTTTTAAAAAAATATTTTAAAAAATTTAAAAAGGACTAGAGATCAACCTTGAAATAGCATCCCTCAACCTGCAAAAACACCCCCTGTTCCCTGATTAAGCAATGGTGAAACAATTGGCGCATAAAAGTTAATGAATCAAAATGTAAGCATGTCACTTTCACCCTGGGATGTAGATCTTGTTTTTAACTCTTACATTTCCCATCTTAGTTAATCCAGTTTCTTGGTTACCTTTTACATAAAAGACTGACACCAAACCCACATATCAGACTTAAAAGACAAGAGCTTAACCAACTATTTGGACAGGCATTACTAAACAGAACATCTCATCTTTCAATTGAAAACAAATTATTAATCTCAAAATCCATGCATAAGTCTATCTGGATGTACGGATTTGAACTGTGAAGGACAGCAAAAATCAAATGTATTTAAACTACTTTGAACAATAATTAATGGTCCATATTACGTCAGAAATAAGACCTTACACCATGACTCAAACATCTCATATGTCCTTGTATTTTTTTTTTTTTTTAAATGTCATCATCCCATCCAGATATACAAACTTTCACTACAAAATTATTCACTATTCTAATCCTCTAACTCAATCTCTATCCAGGTCTCACCCTAGAATTATCCCAAGATGTTAAAACAGAAGTGGCCTCAAGACCTTTTATAAATATGACGGATTGTAATTGGGAACCGAAGACACTCGAGCTTGGCGAAAAGGTTAAAATAATCTTCCATTAACACTTGATAAATTAAAATATGACCTCCGATAACATTACATACAAATAAACGTGTGGTTTTCATAAATGTTAGCCTTGGTATTATTTAATATTTAATTATGTATGAATGGAGTATAATTCATACAATATTTAATTGTATCCATAAAATCCATCATTCGCGACCGATTTTAGCCCCCCTGCTGTGTTTAAACTCCTTACGTTCCACGTACCAATATTTAAATCCCTATATTTCAACTTGCGCCATGAATCCCCTAAAGCAGTCCCCACCCGGAGACCCGAACGGGGGACTAGTTTACCTCCGGATAATGAGCGTTTTACCTTAGGGAGATCCATGACTTTTTGTGGTGTTTGGTGAACTAAAGATATGTGAATAGGGCGTTCAATCCTACGTCACACCCTCCAGCAAGTCTGGTGGGCCCCTACCTCCAGCAAGTCTGGAGGGCCCCTCTCATTGTTGGTCAGCGAGTCCATCGGACTTAGCCGGGAGGAACTTCCAAGGAATTTCCACCGACCATCCCCACATCTGCCACCCGTGGGACGCTCCCCATACGCGGTAATGAGCCCGCGCGAGGATATTATATTTACATAAAATAATAAATTAAAAACAATACAACCTAATTTTACATGAAATATTATATAGCTACCCAAATACAACTATAAAATATTACTATTCTTCATTTACTTCAATCACACTAACACTAAAACTTATATAAACAGGTTGTCCAAAATGGCATCCAAAGATGGCGGACTTACGACTTTGACTTAAGTTAGTTTTTGGTCATTGAGAATCAGCATTTGGCTTACTTTCCTCATAATTGATCTTTAACTAAAGATGGATAGTCAGAGTATAATAAAACATGAAGCATTATTAAAAAATAATTGGCTTAGGCAATAAAAAACATCAGTAAAGCCAATTTAAAAAAAATTAACTTGAAAATGTCATTTGTAATTAAACAAACGGCCAACAATTAAGGAAAACGTCCTGAAATAAAACATCTGGAGAATTTATTTCTCTTTCTAAAACACTGATAACTTTTTTAAATTTTATAAGCGGTTTTGTTGAAAATGCACTTAATCGACGGAAAAGCGGTATGGGTGTAGGTGCCTACAGGTCTCTGTCACATCATTCACTACTAATAAATGGCATAGTTATAGTGCTATAATAATGTTTACGGTACATTGTGTGATGATCGGCCCTTAAATGAATTAGAGTGAGCCGAGTGAGTGAATTAGGGTACGCTTGAATAAAACAGAATATGGCCTATTAAGCAAATCGCTGGATGGGATACCAACCAATATGAGCAGGTGAGACGCCCACGGCTCGGATTGGGCATCAGGCTTACGGTGGAAGACCTGGACATGGTGCAATGCCGCAAAACCAGGAAAGATGATCACCTACTGCCGCCCGTAATCGTACATTTCGTCAAGCAGTCAGTTAGAGACAAACTGATCACAAAGAAAAGTCAAGAGGGACTTCTCAACACACATATCTGGTGGCAGGAAAATGACTGCCACCAAATTTATCTGAGCCTAGGAGGTGACTCCCACCAACAGACATCTCTACTGGCTTGCCTGGCAGAAGAGAGCGAAAGGGAAAATAAAATTTGTTTGGTTCACCGCCGACAAGGTTCGATGCAGAAAGGATGACGGTCATCAAATGATCTTCATTGACCAGACCTCAGATCTCAACGTGTTTGTCTAACTGCTGGAGTATCATCAATTTTCCGCTCTCTCCAGAATGTTATTTAGTACAACTGGCTCTCAACTAATTCGGACCTTTTTGTCTTCATGTTCATCTTATAATTTTCACTTATCAATTTATTTATTTTAAACAACTTGTTTTTCATTTATTTTCTTTACATATACTTTTTTCTCCTTATTTTTATTGATTCTCGATGTTATTTAATGTTTCTTATCTGTTCCTACCTCTCTCCACCATTTTCTGACTGTTCTCTGTCAAATCTTTTCCATGTCTAGTATCCTAACCACCTGTCACATTAATTCCCAATCCCTTCTTGCTCATTACGATGAATTCCTGCATTACTTCACTCAAAACTTCTACCATATTATTGCGATATCCGAAATCTGGCTCAAACCTTACATACCGTCCTCTTCTGTCGCCCTTCCTAGCTACAACCTCCTCCACCACTACCGGGTCAACCGGATTGGCGGTGGTATAGCTATCTTTGTCCATGATAGCCTAAAGACCTGGGTCCTCGATCGCTCCCCACCCTACGACCATTCCCAAGTTGAGTACCTTACTGTCTGAATTTTCTCCTATACTACTACACTCCTTTACACCGTAATATACTGTCCTCCTTTTGAATCAATCCTGTTCAACTTCGTTCCCCTCTACTCTAGAATAATTATTTCCCGTGACCTAGATACCAATCTCCTCACAGAAACTAAAGATAAATCCTATCTGGATAGCCTATTTTTCTCGCTTTACCTCTTCATCGTTCTTTTTTCCCCCCACTCACCACACCTGCACGCCCGTCACCTGGTTGGACCTCTTCATTATCGATTCCCCTCAGAATCTCCTCTCCACTGAAATGCCAGTATCTTTTCTATCATACCACAATCTGATTCAAATACTCTATAATATCCAAACCCCTCTGATTCAGCCTAGAACCTTCACTTTCTGCCATCTGGAGAATCTCATCCATGAAAAGATACTACCTGATCTTGAATCCTTAGACTGGAATGGAATATACTCCTGCTCTAACATCGATTCCATAGTTGATATTCTTACTTCCAATCTTCTCAGTATCCTTAATATCTGTGTCCCTGTAAAGACCTCTACCTTTCATTGTTGGCCTGCGCCTTGGATGTGTCAAGAAATTTAAGATTTGCAGAAGAGACGCGATGCTGCCCGCAGAAGCTTAATAGGTACTAGACTTGCAGATGACTTCCAAGCATTTAGGGTGCTGCACAACTTGACACAATCCTGGATCCAATGAGCGAAATCCTCTTAATTCCATGGAGCCCTTTTATCAGCTCCTAACATCAAAACTAAATGGGCACTCCTTCACAAACTTTGCCTTTATGATCCATCAAAATCTCTTACCTCATTGGCCTTTCCAGTACCACCTGATGCTTTAAACTCACATTTTATATCTGCCTCTACTTCTTCCCGACCTTCTCCCTCCGGTTTCTCTCCAGGTACATTATTTCATGACAATGGCTTTTACTTTTCCTACATTTTCCCTACCGACCTTTTACCCGCTTTGTACTTTGTTTTATATTATTGTTGTTAATTCTTATATTTCATTTAGCATGATGAAGTATCTGTATTCCAGTTGGTGGTAATAAATAGCCAATAATCCATGATTGTTAATAAACAGAACTTACCTTAATTTTACTTGTTAAAAATGTCTTCTAGATTAATAAAGGCGATTTCTAATTATGATGGAAGGACATTTCCTCTAGTTTACTTTGATACAATTGTTAATGATTAAATTTAAATGTTTTTTTAGTTATCACTTTCTATTCAACAAAAAACGTGTCTGGCTTAAAAAAGTACAAAACTCGTATTTCTTGGTTTCTGTGTGAAATCAGACAATCATTTTTTATTTTTGTAGGTTTTAAGGTCTACTATCTCTCATTATAAATTTTATGAAATCAATGTCAATCTAATCGATATTAATAAATACTTAATTGATTGGTATCGAATACTTTGATGTCAATGAATTATTCAACGAATAATTATAATATGAACGATCAAAAATGTTACAGAAACAAGTTCTACTTTGAAATGATATCATCTATTTTTCGGTTGTTTTTGTACTTTTTTTTATATTCAACATGACTATATTCTAAAATTATAATATTTTTTAAAGATAACCCAAACCTTTATTTTTGAATTTTGAAGAAAAAAAACCTTTTCATTTTTATTAAAAAACTATATGTTCTATCATATGGTGGCTAAAGGTGTGCCAAATTTCAAAGTGGAGAAACAATGGGTTCATTAGTAAAAAATGTTGACCTACAATAGGTGCACTAAAAACACTGTCAATGTCTGCCAATATTAAATACATTTCCCTAACACCCAACTTTCTTCTAGCTTTGGGCCCAATCGAACAGGCCATTTCTGAAATATAGGCATATCTAAGAAAATACATCCACGTGTTTGTTAGCAAAAGCGCAAGGTAGAATTTGATTATATTTATATGGAACCTTCAAGACATCATAATTTTTAAATCATTTAAGCTGCTATATATCTTTTTTATGTTTTGTTTTTAAACGTTTTATTATTTGGTTCTTAATTAAATTTATAGAAATGTCAGGATATAGAGGGGGTTGGAAGAAAAAAGTTGAGAGTTTAAAAGAAACTTTTCTCACATCAATTCAATTTACAAATTTCTAACTTGATACATTAATTTAGAGGGGCCATAGAAATTGTGCAAAGCGTTAAAAAGTGAAAAAATGCTTAGGGTAAAAACACCCGTAATTGAAAGTGTAACAACACCTGACATTCTCTTTGAAAAATGGGAATAATACGATTTCAGGACCTCCTAGGAATCTATTTCATGAATTTAACTTCTACATTTTGTCCTTATATAATTCTCTGCTTTGCTTAAGTCTTACCGGGAACTGTTACCGAAATAATGAGTAGTAAAATAGGAAGGTTCCTCACCGTCCACTTTGTGTCCCAGGAAGAAAGATCTGTCAATAAGGGGATCAGATCTCGGCTTTGTCTTTTTCTCTTTAACAACTTCGATTCATCTCAAACTTTTTGTTTTATTTTTTCTTGGGGTGTTTTTATATTTTGTTTTGTCTGTTTTTAACTTATATTATTAAAAGAATTACTAAATTTAATGGGTGTCTGCTATTGGAGCCTTATTTTGGTGTTTTTGCCATTTGTTGACAGGCCTTGTACTTGCAGAATTTCTAAGAGTTTTACTCAAAATAACGGGTTTTAAAAAAGGATCATCCATGCTGTCACTTTAAAAAAAAATTCCTAGTAATATGGATTAATTATAAAGCGAAAATAAGTTTTCCTATTGCGAAAAGCAGGTTCTTAACAGTGTCCAACATTTACCAATAAATTTAAATCAAGAATCTCATGAAATTATTTTTATGATAAGTTAAAGATAATTTTTGTTAATATCTATCTTAAAATGAATAATATAAAATTTCAACACTTTATTTTGCATAGTTACATCCTTATTCTCATCCTTGTCAGTTATAGGAACACTCCAAATCAAGCAGTGTCAGCTACTGGTACAACAAAACTATTCCCTAAATTCACAGTTTTAAAAAATAGAGGAAAATATTTCATGGATTTGAAATGTGTCCTAGCAAGGTGAGAAGTAGTTCTATAAAATGAATCCAAGAAAAATACAATAACATCAATATGTAGGTTTTTAAACCTAGAAGTTCAAAGAAATTTCCTTAAGCATGTCAGCTACTGGTGCTTTTACCAAGTGTCAAAATGCACTTCTCAAACTCCAATTCAATTTAAATATGGAGCGGGATGGCCGAGCGGACTACATGTGTGCAAAACATGTTTTGCCCATAACACGATAGACAGATGTTTACAAGATGTAATAATTACGAGTTCTTTTCCCGGTCCCGTAGGTGCTTTAAGCTAGGACTATAATCTCATACCCTTCCCGCTGAAGAAAATAAAAAATAAAAATGAAATGTTGATTCAAATACAAACCTATTAGATATAAGAGGACTCCTTTAAAAAAAAAAATAATAATAAATCTATATATTAGATGTATCCAGAACTCGCCTGTATCTCTGCAGGCCAGTACTCAAATTCACTTTTCATAAAATAAAATAAAAAGTGTAACATGAATATAGGTTGCGATAAGAGCCTACATTACACTATAGGCAACTGTACTCATAATTGTTTATTTGATGAGTTTGTTTTCAAAACCGATTATATTCATTTTCAAAAATGCTTCAGAACGGATGAAAAAAGATTGTATAGAACCACTTTTGAACAGAAATCGAATCTTCGCCCTTAGCTCCTCGACTATGGGTTGCCCCCAACCCTGGGCCTGTTGTGATCAACAAACACTATATTTTTCACTTTATGATCACACTATATAGGCTATAATTACTTAGAACTTGTCATTAGTTGCAGTAAATATTAGTCCAAGTAGCTATTATTCTATTTTTCAAAAAAAAAAAAAAAAAAAAAAAATAATTGAATTATAGTACTCTTAAAACCCAATTGGTGCGAATTTTATGTTAAAAACAAATAAAGTAGCCTTGGCAAATACGGCAGGTTTAGAGCAAATAAAATAGGTCGACAATTGAATGTTTTAATCTGCTTCTAAATTCTAATAATTCTAATTTTGGTGCTTCACTAAAAGTGGTACATTTAGCTTTTAAAACTGGAAGGAGAATCTCTGATTAAATTATACAATTAATGAAAATGTTGGATAATTCAATAAAACTACTATTATGATGTAGAGATGGTTGACCGTTGATATAATATGAGAAGGAGTTGATCGGGGGTTGCGGTCAAATAAATACTAAATTAAACTAATAGTATTATTTAATTTTTGCCGACGTTTCAAAAATACTATTATGTGATATAGTATTTTATATATTGACCGCACTCCTGACTAACTTCTTCTAAAAATATATAATTATCAGTTTACTTACTTAGCTTTCTGCTATTGAGAAAATTTTTTTTTAAGCTACAGTTTTTAATTTTCAAAATATTATGTCATTCATTAGGAAAAACATTTTTTACATATTTTTATCAGAGAATTATCTGTTTAATGAATGTGCTTAATTTGCATGTTATATTATGCTCTAGAAATATTGGGTCAGAGCCATTTATAATGGAAGGCAATAAGAGAGTTCCTGCTATGAAGAAACAAGAAGAAGATGAAATACCTAGTGAAGTGAAGAGGGTATTAGAAGAACTTGAATTTGAAGAAGAGTCTCCTGATGAAGAGCAAATTCAAGTTCTTGAAGATATTTGGCTCAAGGCTGGTGAAATTGGTATGATAAGTCTTTTTTAATTATAATCAAAATGAAAATTAAGTATGTCTCCAAAACATGTTCTTCTTCTTTAAATTGTAATTAGCATATTAGCATTCTGTATTTGTACCATAAGAGTTCTAACAAAGACGATTTGTAACAAACTGAAATAATTTGAACACATTGAAAAATTATGATTTTGCACGAGCTCTCTTCTCTTTTGTCTGTGAATTTTCCTGTCACTTTTTTTATTTTTTATGTATGTATATATATATTTTTTGTGCTAAGCTGTTTGAGTGAGATATGCATGTTTGAATTCATATTTATATTTTAGGTTAAATCATGTTTTACTATATAAAGAAAGTCTGTATTTTCACCACATTTATTTTTATTTCTTCTCCACATTGGCTACGTTTCGGCTATGATGCCATTTTCAAGCCATCTATAAGACCCATACACAATCAGTTCATAAAAAAACACATTTAACATAATATAATAATGACTAGTCATCTATTAAAAACAATATTATATAAATTATAATCCTGATAGGATTAAGTCATTAAGTGAATTTATATTAATTAATTAATAATTTTAAAAACCTAGTATAAGAATATTCTATCAGTGAATTTACTTATATTAATGTAAGATAAATCAGATATTGATTCATAGTGAATTTTAATGTTCTTACTTAGTTAATACTGTTCTTTCTGTTCAATCCATAATTGGATTATAATCTCTATGAGATTGTTTGGTTGAGAGGCTACATGTTAATTAATTGTTATTTCTCCTATTTCCTATTATCTGAAATATTAAAAATATTATTTAATTAAAATTGTAATTTGGTGGTATTTGTAATTGTAATATTTGCATATGTACTATTGAACCCTTTTCTGTCTGTCTGAAAATGGATTATGGAATGCCTTATAGATGGCTTGAAAATGAAATTATAGCCGAAACATTGGCAGAAAAAATAAAACTATATGTGATGAAAAATACAGCCTTTCGTTGTATATGCTTGTTTTTTTCTTTGACTCTGTTTTCTATGTTGTCTTTAAGCCATTCCATTATTTTTAAATATTTCTTTTTTATTCCTAGAACTTCAAAAATAATTCTATTTAATGAACTTGTCAGAAAGTCTTAGATCTCCATTGAATTTGTTTAGTTATTCCTTTATCCTTTGTTGGAACAGTTTTCTGATACCTTCGGCCTGTAATAGCTCCAACTTAAAAACGTCTTCTTCTTTCTTTTTCCATCTCTTCCTTATGCTTAAATTATACAGTATTGTTAACCGGTGGGAAGCAACATAGTGATTTTAGGATATAGTGGTCTGACCCACTCTCTGCTCCTTTATTTACTCTCACATCCTATATTTTTATAATACTATGCTGTATAATAATCACATAATTTAGTATAAATCTCACAAGGGTGGTTATAGATGAGGAGTCACCAATTTTAATGAAATTTGTGTTAGTGATACTAGGTCAAAAAATAGACCCATATCCAAAACTTTTTGCCAAATAATTTTTTAATATAATTTCAAACAAAATTTATGTTATTAATGTTTGCCTTTGCTCGTTTGCTATTATATTCCATTCAATTTCTTTTTTTTTTTTTTTTTTTGCTGAAAAAGAAAAAAATATTGATTATGGTATTTAATGATTTATAAACTTTCTCAAATAACTTTTTTTAAAAAACTATTTATTCAAGATATTTACAATTGCATTATGATATAAATACATCAAATAAATGTGTACACAAGAATATAATTACTTGAAAACGTTTATTGAGAAACTACAGGTAGCACTCTGATAATATGTCTACATAAGGAGATCACGAGGCCATCTTCTTTTCAGATGCCTCGGGGGGTTAAATAACAAAAGCAGCTTCATAGCCAAAAGGGGCTTCTAGAAAAGTAGGGCATGTAAATTTTTGTTATGAAAAAGAAAGTTACATTTTGTGTTTTTTAAAACTCGTTAAAATACGAACTTTTATAATATAAAAATAGTAAATGTTAGTACTGGATTTTCTAAGAGGATTTTTTTTCTGATTGTTAACTAAAGCATTCATAACTTCTCAGGATTTTCTCCAAATTCAACATTAGTACAACTGTTGGAAAGCCGAATGACTGCTCTTTTAAACTTCATCAAATTTTTTTAAATTTCATTCCTTTTTATGCTAGAAATTTTGAAAAACTTCTCAAACATTTTATTTTATATATTTGGTCGATTTTATATCTTGATTAGGGAGTGGGGTAGCTCAGTGGTAGCAGAGCTTCCCATGCTAAAGATCACAGGTTCAAACCCCGGCTCCTCATGGCAGAAAAATTATTTATTCTGTTTCATTGGCCGTAGGGCGACTCTAAATGGGTTGATCCTCCTTTGAGTCGTTTTGAAAAAATCATAATTTTTCTGATTATGGATTGATGGTTGACTGTAGTTAATAATTGAAGAGAAGGATGATCAGTCAAAATAAAATATAGTGAAAATAAATAATTATATTTATTTTTATATTTGCCGACGTTGATTGATAATTCAGAAATCCATGCAGAGCAAAGTTATAAAACAGTAATATAAAAAATTAATAAATTTTTATAAAATATTTTTTTCTCGGCTCCTAGAGTACGTTGACAGAACCCTCTGACATGGGTAAAATATTTTCCTACCTAGTATCGCCAAAAAAGTTTCATTGAAATCAGTGACCCCACGTCCGTAACTAGTTGTTAGTAATGAACAAGTCCCTAAAAAATTAATTATATCTAAACCACTCAAGTTTAGACACTTGTAGATTAGAGGATTGCATTAAGGCTGATGTTGCAGATCGGCTTTAGTACTAATTTGATAAATGTTCGAAAACCAGCTGATTTATTACATTTTTACCATCAGTCATGGCAAATTAAACGTTTTTACATCATGGTGACCATAGTTCTATAAAAGAATTTTGTCTCGCCTGAGCATTTAAGGGAGAATCAAAAATTCATCATTTCAAGTTTCATAGAGCTGTCATTGGACTGAACATATGAATGAAGTTAAAATGGACGCAATGACTCCAAAACATTCTAAAGTCTGTGCTTACCCACAGCATTGTATTGTACATAAAGATAAAAAGTCATTGGTGAAAAGAACTAAAAGACTTCATTCCTTCCTCATGTAAAAATAAAGAAATGTAAAAACTATGACAATTATACCTATTAGATGTTCAGTAGTGTTAAAACTCTATATCAACAACCACATTGTAAAGATCTGTGAGTCCAAAAACTTAATTTATTCATAAGAAAAAATGAACTGCATATTTCTCATTCTATGAACTAGATTTTTGGTTCAATTTTTATTGCATGCTCAAAAAAATATGTAATGTATGATACTGTGAAATAATGTTTTTAGTTGGAATGTATGAATAGGCATAAGGTCAAGAGTGACCAGAAAAGCTCAAGACTGCTTATTCTAATAAATTTATACTTATGGACTTATTCAGTGTGGCTATGGATCTTTACATTGTATACCAACCAGATATTTTTTTTTCAGCAAAAACATTTTTCTTTGTAATACAATTTTTTTCTTGTTGACTGCATTTTACTTCAGTTACTTGTGAAACAACACATCTCCAATGTAGTTTATTATTATTATTATTTTTTTTAATGTATTAAATCTATTTTTACTTTTCTACCGTTATTAGGTATGGTACTTTGTTGTGAAATCACCCAGACTACCTCCTCGACATTGTTTATTTTCATATTTTTTTAATGATAAGTACGAACTTGTGATTAAAAATTTTTAAGGCATAAAATTTTTCCTGATGATCATTTTTAATTTACTTGTCAACTGAAAACATTTTTTGGGAAAATCCCTCTTCGTACTAAACTAATAACTAAATTTATGATAATTATCTTTAATTTTTATGTCTATCAATAAATAGTTTCTAAAAAAATCATAAAAATTAACATAAAACTCCCACTATTCTTTATGACAATTTTTTAAATATCGAACCAAAATGAATAACTAAAACTATGGTAATGATTTTCTCTATTTTTTTTTTCTTTAATACATCATGTAAGTAATAAGATAAGTTGTTAAAAAAACATCATAAAATGAGACATTTAGCACTATAAAAGTATAATAGTATAAAGATTCACCTTTGATTCTTTTTTTTACTTTCTACCTGTACTAGGTAAGGAAAGTATTGCGATCGGGTCAAATTTTTTATGTGTGGATTTCGATGGATCTATCCGTTTCAGAGTTCCCCGAGTCTGAAAAACACATTTTCAGCCGTTACTCTATCTATCTGTGCCAAGATAATCTTGGAAACTAGTAGACCAATGTTGTTGGTTTTTTTACTTTCACTTACGTATATATGTAATATATAGTAAGTGTAAGTATTGCGATCGAGAAAATTTTTGAATCTGAGTTTTCAACGGAAATAGATTTTTGAGGTACCCTGAGTCGAAATGACCAAGTCCCGAAAAATGGTCTGTGTGTCTGTTTGTTTGTATGTTAGCAGTCTAGCACAAAAACAAAAAGTCCTATGAAACTGATATTACGTATTTAAGATAGGCATATGCCTTAGATGTGACGGCAACTTTTCCCTTAAACTCGGCTAACCGGAAGTGCCACTTTATATCAACGCTGAAAGACATTTTCACAATTTTCTCAAAAACGGCTCTAACGATTTTGATTAAACTCGGTGTATCATTGTATAATTAAGTGGTATTTAATATCTGTTAGGTTTTATCCCCATTGATGTCACTTTACAGGGCTTAAATGCCCAATGTTCATATACGTCTTCCTCTAAAGTAGCTTAAATATGGTTTATTTTAAAAAGTTAACCATTTCACATTATTCAAAGTAATGAAAAAGTGCTAAATATAACTTTTGAAAGAATTTGATTGGTTAATAAAGGAGAAAAAAAAATGCAGAAAAACCTGCATTGCTATAGTCTGTAACGAGTAAACGGATGCATCGATTTCAATGAAACTTCGCTAAAGTCATTTTCTCGACACCCTTTAAATTTATTTATATTACATACTTCAACGAAAAGAAGCTCGAAAAAAGTTACGAGGGATAGTAAAATTAAATTCCGAATAACTAAAAAAGTATACGCTTTTTGGTTTTTTAAAAGTTTATGGAATTTCCTAAAAAAAAAAAAAAAAAATCGTTAAGATCGGACAACTAGGAGGAAAGATATGGTCTCTAGTTTTTTTCCCTGAAGAGGCGAAAATTTGGATAAATTTAAAATATACTATTTTAATTGTTGAGACTAAAAAAACTTTTTTTCTACAGATATTTAATAAAATATCTTTCCTAAGAACATTTTTCATAAGAAATAAGTACCTAAATTTATACCTTTATTTTCAGTTCTATATTTCAATGTTGCAATCACCACCTCTTTAATCAACTTACTCATATTCTGCATAGATAACTTTTTCAAGATTATGGTATATAAAAATATCACTAAAATGACATCACTTAAAAATATTAAAATTGGAGTTAGTCATTCTGAAGTTTATAAAAGCAAAGAAAGTTGTGTGGTTTATAAAAGCAGATGGAGTGACTAGATTTTTATTGCCTGTTGTCGATATATTAAATAGACATTTTGTAATTATAATGGTCTTGATGAATTGTTATCTGTAAGCTTTAAGCTTTAGCTCCATTTAAAATGCACTTCAAAAAAATTTATTATAGCCCAGCATTGCCAGATAATAATTTCTATTCATAGTAGATCAGTAAGTGAAAGTTGTGTGTTACACACACCAGATTTTTTTATTTTGTAGGGTTTTGACTACTGATGCCTGTGAAATAAATTGGGTGCTCCATGAAGAATAGCGACTCTGCAATAAATGAAAAACATATTTTCCTATAAGCTCATAAACTTCTTTAACGATTTTGATAAAAGATTCCTATAATTTTCTAATTAATGTCCTTTCAATTTTCTTTCGTACTTGTACTAAATTCCAAAGAAAATTCAGGAAAAAAGTTATAAGTATATATTCTATGGTAAAATTTATATATAAACTTAAGAAAAGTAATAAAATTACCTACAAAACAAAAACAAAATCATCGGAATCGAACCAGTATTAGCCATCGCTATTAGCGTATTCTATTTTATACATTTTTTTAATCTGTTTTTTGAAAGGTAGTGGAATTCCCTATAAAACTATATAAAAATTGTTTATTTCAGACAACTATTAAGAAAGTTACAGCTATTCGATTTTGTCTGTAAGATTGCGAGTTCAAATCATGTTGCCAGAAAGGTGTGAATGAGAGAGAAAAGAGAAAAGTAAGTAGAAATAAAATAATTTGCTGGTGCCCACAACACACAAGTTTCACTTCCCCCTCTACTTTTTTTTAGCATTCTCGTGCCTAGCGATGCCAGTTCGTATCTGGTCTGGGAGGGCTTTACTTATATTTTGTGGTGGATCCTTAGAATGAAACTCGATCCTCCCACTCTGGTTAGAATAAGTTTGGATATACCTCTAGAACAACACTCCATTATGCCAAACATGGTAGGTTGGGGGTTTTAAAAAATAAATAAAAAAAACTTAGCATGGTTTGTTCTTATGTACTCTTCAGCATTTACTGTGTCTTGTGTACCCTTTTTTGGTACAATACCACATATACCATCACAAGAGTCATTTTCTTCAGATAATTAATAAAAAAATCCATTTGGCTAACAAATCAAAATCATTTTCATGTTGTCTCTTTTCATTATTACATGTTTATAGTTATGAATTATTTTAATCACTTTCCTCAGTACTTCGGGGATGTGTTGTGAGGGCAAAAAGAGTAGAAGAAATCATTCTTATAATTTCAGATTTTGATAACAGCAAACATATCAAAGTTATAGTAGTAAAGATATACTGATGCTGTATTATGTCATAAAGAGGTATAAAATTCATCAGTTTTATCATTTTTCACTCTTGTATGTTCCTTCTTTGTCTATCCATATATATGTATGTACATATATGTGAGAGAGATAGTTGCGATGAACCTTTTAGGCACCCAAGCCAGGTTTGGGAACACGGAGCTGACGCTAAATAGCAGAGGTTGGGTAAACATTTACTATCTCTTATTGACTCACTTGTGACACTGGGTGACACCTCATTGTAAGTAGGAGAGGGGCAGTGCCTACAGTCTGTTCTTTTAACTTCATAAATAGCCAAAAAAAAAAAAAAAAAAATTGTTGGCCCCGTTTGAAAATTCAAATTAAATATAAAAATGTTTTTAAAATGGAAATTTCTTCCTACCACAGATATAGTACAGTGATAGAGCTTTACTAGAAAATAAATGTGTGGTGAATCTTATTGAATATTACACTTTCACAGCACTATCTTGTTTTTTGTTAATTTTCATGATTTTTTAAACTACTTTTATTCTTTCTTAAGCAATTTGTTTAAATACTGAATAAAAAAGTAGAAAAAATTGTAATTTTTATTTTGGTTTGATATTTGCAGAATCGCCAGAGTTAAAGACATATTCCTAAAGCATGTTATCAGTCTAAAAGTAAATTTAAAATGACCATCAAGAAAAAAGTGTGCACCTTAAAATTACAGTTTTAAACTTATTGTTAAATAGGGAATAAGTGGTTAAAAAAAAAAAATAAATAAACAATGTCTAACAATAAAATTAAGGTTGTCCCTGTGCAGTTTCCAACCAATCCAAAAAAAAACATTTTTAGTCATTGAACTGTTTTTCTGTGCTATGACCATTTATTGAACAGGTGCATCAATATTATTGCTTCTTTATTGATAGTGTCACAGGTCAGTTTTTCAAGTTTATAGAAAATTAATTTCTTTGGAGATGAAGGTGTGTTTTTCAAATAATTGATTCAAATACCTTTAAATATTCATTATTTAATTTTCTTTGAATTTATTTTTAGAATTAGAAGAAGCTTCTTTGGTTGATGCTGGCTATGAAATGAATCAAAAAAGGAAAAGAAAGAAATCAGATCCAAAAAGACCTAGAGGTAGGGGTTGTAACAAAAAAATTAAATTAAAGGATAAAGATAAAATTGAAGTAACACAACTTCAATCAGAATTAGAAAAGTGTTTAGAAGAGTATGAAACTGTTGACATCAAAGCTCCAATAGATATTGTTGAAGATGACCTACCACCTTTACCTTCTAGTCCTTACCCATCACTATCAAATACAGAAAATAATATCAATTCAAATCTTATTGAAACGAAACCATCTATCAGTAGTTTACCGTTTAAGGGCACAAATATTCCAGTTATAGAAAAGAAGCCTAGACAGCGTAAGCCACGAGAACCAAAAGATCCTTCTCAAGTAACAAAAAGACGAATTAGAGTTAAAAAAGAAAAGGATCATGATCCTAAAAAGGGTTTATTGAAAAGAGTTAAAAAAGAGTCAAATGAAAATGCTATGAAAAACATTACAAGTTTGATTTCTAGTAATACAGAAGCTTTCAATAGTATGAATATTAATCATTTATCTGACAATGCTGTTTCCGAAAGAAGTATGTTAGACGACACCCTTTCAATAAACTTGAATTTTTCAAATTTTATGGAGTCTTCCAGAGATTCGGGACAGTTAATTGTGAATCAGGAAGTAGAAATTAGTTCAGAACCTTATTTAGGACATTCTAAGTCTAGTATCACTAATAAAAATGGTATGATAAAGGAAGAGCCTAATGGAGATTGCCTGTCTAGTCATAATGACCCTCATTATTATTCTGATAAGGGTGATTTTCCTGTGATAAAAGTAAAGAACATGCCAGAAGACACAAATTCATTATTGAGCAGATCTCTGCTAACACAGAATAACGAATTAACAGTTACTCGTGTAGCAAACATTGAAAAAACCGAAAACCAGAAATTATCCAGACCAGTTATGTTAACTGTGCCTAAATTTGTCAAAGTCCCTAGTATCCAAAAAGATAACAAAACCAATAATGCTGTTCCATCAGGAAGTAATAACATTGAAAATATAGATAATCCTAAGAAAATTGTTCTTATCAAAAGACCCAGTGGAAATAAGGGTGAAGTTAAATGTTTTCTAAAACCATTAAATTCTGAAACGTATTCCATATTACTAAACAATAAAAGTAAAACTAATAAACCAAAAGTAGTTCTTCTCAATCAACCATCAGTGTTGCCAAGTCAGAAGAGTGTGTTATCCCCTCCAAAATTCACTGCTCCATCTATTCCTACTTCTCCTAATACACACATTTCTCCTATGGCTAAGCTATCTACATCTCCAGAAAGTATTAGAGTGAAATCTGATGCTCAATTGTTTGTCAGTAGTTCACCTAGTCACTTAGATAGAAGTACACCAACTTCTTTCGATCACCAAAAAAACCTTTTCAAATTGTCTCTGTGTTCTAAAACTGTGTCAGATAAATCTTCGCCTCATACATCACCTCATACTTCACCAATCCCAAGGATATCAGTAGCAAAGAATATATTTAATAGTCCAAGTATAAATATCCAGTCCATGATAAATCAAGAAGTACCTTTGAAACAAGAAACAGAAACAGATCCTTTAGCTGTTTCAGCTAGAGTAGAAGACGGTTATCAAGAAAATTTAGGCTACCCTCATGTCGACCTCTATGGTATGTTTTTAATACTTGATTAAATTATTTATTATTTGTTTTATTAATTTGAATCTATTTAATGATTTTCTTTAAATATATATATCAATTTTAGGTAGGGTTGACCTTGTTGAAAGTTCAAATTTTGATAAGCTTTCCCAAGATCTCCAAACTCCTTCTGTTGAAAGAGCTTATAATTTATTTTGGAGTTTAAAAGAACCTCACTGTGCTGTGTGTGTTTTGTTTTCAAAGACTGAAGAAACATCTGAGGTAATGTTTTGTGATATTAAGATATTGTTTATTTGGGCTTCAAGGCTTAAAATCATGAGGTTATGAACGTTTTTGTTTATCTCTAGTTGTTGTGGCCAACATCAGCTATATTATTGTTTATTTATTTTCTGTTTGTTTACACAATTGTATAGTAAACCATTTTATATATGGCTGGATATTTTGTTTTCTTTTAATTATATATGTATATTGTAACATTTCTCTTATATTTTACAAGTAATAATAATGTCTCCTCAGAAGATCACTTTATACTGTTGGGATACTTCCAAAAAAAATAAGAAGTTGTTAAATAATAAACAAAATTATAAGAGTATTAATATATTAAACTAGTAGGCCCGTTCGAAAAATTCGCACATCATATTGTTATCAAGTGCTTAATTAATATGAAAATAAAATAATGCAACGTATCAAAAGATAAAAAAATCAATTGTTACTTTATCGATAAATATAATCGACAAAGGAAACAAAAATTAATTTAAATCTTCATTAATGTTTGGAATCAACATGTTCACAAATTTCAATAACCTGTATCTTTTCTAAAAATTGTCAGATTTTGATGATTTTTTTTCCCTTTTGTAGGGAGTTTAGTAATCTTTTATATAATCATGGCCATAACCAAGAAAAAAGTGAGTAATTTTTTAGTTATTCGCAAATAAAGTTTGTTTTCTTTCATAACTTGTTTGCCTGAATTTTCGGGGTGATTAGACTATTTTGCCTACCTGAAGGAGAAGGAAGCCTTAGAAATTAGAAGCTCAATCTTCAGAGTTGGTGAAGAATTAACTATGATATGGCTTGCCGATCAAAAACACCATCAATAAATCATATAAACTCCTCCTCTCTCAATCATAGAGGCCCGAAGTCGACGAAATGAGACATGTATTCAATGACAGTACTACAATTAACATAAGGTTGTGTAGATGCAAACCCTATGCCTTGCGTTATCTCGAAAATAGTACATTTTTGGGCTTAAAAACGCAGGATCCGATAGTTGCGAAGGAACTTCGGGGTCTTGCTGTACGCATCAAAATCTTCAAGGTTCAATTTGTCCCATATCGATCTACTGACCTACCATCATTCCAGTATTAAAGCCTAGCAAAATGTTTGTTTTGACTTTACTTATATTAGAAAGAAAAACAAAAGTGGAGAGTACGATTTGCTAACCCCCCGTGAAATCCTGAATCCAACAGTACCCCATTCATGGTATTTGAGCATGACAGGAGCTTATATTTGATTCAAAACCAATTCCAAGCCTTACTGTAATAATTTATGTGGGGATTGAAATTTATAATTATTTTATCTCAAGGTGTGAATTACTGACAATCAGATCAAAAGACTCAGACAGACTAACATTAACTACACTAAATACTGTTTGATTTTAAAATAAAGTAAGGATGAATTGGCAAGCTAACCTTTGTTCTATAGACACTGTTCCTTCCTTTGTTGCACTAAATTTATTTGTCTTCAAACGCTTTCTAATGTTCTGCCAAACACAACTTCCAAAATGGTGACACTTTCTTCTACTCAACTCAAGCTACCTGGGAGATCCTCATATAATTCAAAACAACTAGTGACTCTGTCAAACAATATTTTGAAAATATCCTAAAACAACGACTAATATAAATAGAAAATAGCTTCAGATAGTCAAATAATCCTGGAGCCAAGGCTAGTGCATTTCATTAGAAGGTTTGAGTTAAGTAAAATAAGCCTGGCAAATCATCGGCGTTGGAATCCTCCGATTGAAAACTTATTTCGAAAAGAGAGATTCCCTAGGAGAACAGGAAGAACCATTCTTCTTTTTTTGTTTCACTTCTTCATGATTGATGAATGTTTGCTTGATGAGTGCTGGTTATTATTCTTTAATTTTCCTTTCGTTTCAGCTGTTAACTGGAAAATTTTAAGCTGTAATAATTTTCTTGTTTCATCAAACGCAATGGTCCTCATATCTTCAATGGTTATTAAACGTTTTCGCCGTAACACCATTTTTAATCTTTTACAAATTTGTCTTTGAATAATTGCCAAATCTCATGGATTCTTGACCTATGCAACCACATATTGGTCATATTTATTTATAATTTTATTAATTTAAAAGTGAAAATTCTTATTCAATAATAAGAAACCTAGTACAGCTTTAGGGTATGGTACAATTCCGCTTGTAAACAATTATCAAATGTTATGTTCTAAGTGATGTTATTGGAATGTTATTATTATAAATTACTATGATGAATTTTTTGTTCGATCCATTTTACTTGTAAAAAGATACTGGTACTATGGAAAGAAGCAGAATGAAATAAAATATGAAATAACATTAATAAATCATCAAGAAATAATTAGTTTTTATGCTCTCCTGTAAAACACTAAATTTTTACATACAGTCGTTTGCACTATTATTCATCTTCAGTATGTCCTGGGATTTTTTTTTTAATCACGATCTATTAAAAACACGATTTACAAATATAAAGCCCTTCCGCAATTTAGTGTTTGCTGATGAACAAAACTCATGGGTATCAAACTCGAGAATGTTAGGGTATTGCTGTATTTCTGAAAATGCCTTCTCTGGGAGATTTCATTCAGATATGAAAAATTATAGACTTTAAAATATAGATATTGTTAAGCCTAAGAAAACTGTGAGGAAGCTATACTGACCTTATTTGGCAGATGTTTTCTTAATTTAAGTTAATATTAATTTTTGTTTAAGCTCTTTTCTTTATTTTGTTTGCATGAAAAAATGGTTCACATTTTCTATGTTCTGTGCGAATTATTAAACATCTTAGATTTATAGTTCTATAAATATTTTATTACTGATTAAAATATTGTTTCTAGGTGGTTATTAGAATGCCTCAAGACTGGATGAAAAATGCTAAAGAAACCCAGTTACCACAAAGAAGCAGGGTAATAACATGTTCAACTTTATTTTCTGAGGATCGAACAAAGCCATTAACATCTCAACTATTAGTGTGCAGTGAATGCAGAGTATGTGTTCATGCTGCCTGTTATGACATAAACAACAAGTCATGTTTATCTAAACCTTGGAGATGTGACAAATGTGATTGTTTAGATACAGGACTGTATAAGGTACATTGTATTTTAATAATAAATAAATAAAATTTAAATATTTATATTTTATACATAGTTCATCTTACATAGTTTCATGTTACATAGTTCATCAAAATTTTGTGGATAATAATCTAAAATTTCTTTGGCTTTCTTTAAGGATCTACAATTAATGCTATTTACTTTTCTTATAATATCGTATTTAGGTCAACCTTCCAAACCGAGAATCGATGAAGAATTGTTTTCAACAACGAAGAATTCAAGGTCAACAATAAGTTTTTATATTGAACCTTCAACACTATTTTGCCTAATATTCTAAGATTTTGTCCTTTATTAGTGTCAGCCTTTATTTAATTCTGTTTAAAAACTATCTTTCAATGCCTTACTCTACAATGACTTTGATACCAATTATATTGGCCATTGCTTCTATATCAAGTTTAAAATTATGTTGTAACCTAGTTCCTAAGTAAACACTTAACTCCAGGATTTCTTGGATTTTTATCACTATTATTTAGAGATGGGCAGTACTCGATTACTTTCATGATTTGAGTAATTTTATTAGGAAAAAGTATCGAGTAGTTTCTGTACTCGGCCTGCCAGCGGCGAGTACTGAGAGTACTCACGCAGCGTCAATCATGATTTAGTTAAGTACAGAAAATACTCGCGCTGTTATATCGAATTATAGAAAGTACTCAGCCGAATTCCTACAAAGAGTACTTTTTATTTTTCAACTACTCCGTCATTATTATAAAGAGTAAAAATGTTTTCTTTTATTTCCTTCAATAATAGCAGCCATATTCGACCTGACCAACCCCGAGGCCCCATTAATCGATATTAGACTAACCATCATGTTTTGGGGGGCGCTTTTTATGAAAATGATATCGAATTCGAGATTGGGCCCCCGGGCCCCGACTTTTTTTAACTTTTTGAATTAAATCGATATCAGGATCGACTATTATGTTTTGGGGGGCGCTTTTTATGAAAATGAAATCGAATTCGAGATTGGGCCCCCGGGCCCCGACTTTTTTTAACTTTTTGAATTAAATCGATATCAGGGTCGACTATTATGTTTTGGAGGGCGCTTTTTATGAAAATGATATCGAATTCGAGATTGGGCCCCCCGGGCCCCGACTTTTTTTAACTTTTTGGATTAAATCGATATCAGGGTCGACTATTAGATTTTGGGGGACGCTTTTTATGAAAATGATATCGAATTCGAGATTGGGCCCCCCGGGACCCGACTTTTTTTAACTTTTTGAATTAAATCGATATCAGGGTCGACTATTATGTTTTGGGGGACGCTTTTTATGAAAATGATATCGAATTCGAGATTTGGCCCCCCGGGCCTCGACTTTTTTTAACTTTTTGAATTAAATCGATATCAGGGTCGACTATTAGATTTTGGGGGACGCTTTTTATGAAAATGATATCGAATTCGAGATTGGGCCCCCCGGGACCCGACTTTTTTTATCTTTTTGAATTAAATCGATATCAGGGTCGACTATTATGTTTTGGAGGGCGCTTTTTATGAAAATGATATCGAATTCGAGATTGGGCCCCCCGGGCCCGACTTTTTTTAACTTTTTGGATTAAATCGATATCAGGGTCGACTATTAGATTTTGGGGGACGCTTTTTATGAAAATGATATCGAATTCGAGATTGGGCCCCCCGGGACCCGACTTTTTTTAACTTTTTGAATTAAATCGATATCAGGGTCGACTATTATGTTTTGGGGGACGCTTTTTATGAAAATGATATCGAATTCGAGATTTGGCCCCCGCCTCGACTTTTTTTAACTTTTTGAATTAAATCGATATCAGGTCGACTATTATGTTTGGGGTGGGGCGCTTTTTATGAAAATGAAATCGAATTCGAGATTTGGCCCCCCGGGCCCGACTTTTTTTAACTTTTTGAATTAAATCGATATCAGGGTCGACTATTATGTTTTGGGGGCGCTTTTTATGAAAATGATATCGAATTCGAGATTGGCCCCCGGCCCCGACTTTTTTTATCTTTTTGAATTAAATCGATATCAGGGTCGACTATTAGATTTTGGGGTGCTTTTTATGAAAATACTGTCGGATTTGAAATTGCACCCAGTGGATTCACTTTTTGGAATTAGTCGATATCAGGGCCGTCTATTATGTTAGACATCATTAGACATCATTAGACATCATTTTCATAAAAAGTGTCCCCCAAAACCTCATAATCAACATTGATATCGATTAAATCCGAAAGGTTACAAAAAGTCGCGCCCCGGGGGCACTATCTCAAAATTTATGAAAGTGATTCGTAATCTGATATCATTTTCATAAAAAGCGTCCCCCAAAATCTAATAGTCGACCCTGATATCGATTTAATCCAAAAAGTTAAAAAAAGTCGGGGCCCGGGGGGCCCAATCTCGAATTCGATATCATTTTCATAAAAAGCGCCCTCCAAAACATAATAGTCGACCCTGATATCGATTTAATTCAAAAAGTTAAAAAAAAGTCGGGGCCCGGGGGCCCAATCTCGAATTCGATATCATTTTCATAAAAAGCATCCCCCAAAACCTAATAGTCGACCCTGATATCGATTTAATCCAAAAAGATAAAAAAATAGGGGCCCGGGGGGCCCAATCCCAAATTCGATATCATTTTCATAAAAAGCGCCCCCCAAAACATAATAGTCGACCCTGATATCGATCTAATATAAAAAGTTAAAAAAAGTCGAGGCCCGGGGGGCCCAATCTCAAATTCGATACCATTTTCATAAAAAGCGCCCCCCGAAACATACTAATCGACCCTGATATCGATTTAACACAAAAACTTAAAAAAAGTCGAGGCCCGGGGGCCCAATCTCAAATTCGATATCATTTTCATAAAAAGCATCCCCCAAAACCTAATAGTCGACCCTGATATCGATTTAATCCAAAAAGATAAAAAAAGTAGGGGCCAGGGGGGCCCAATCCCAAATTCGATATCATTTTCATAAAAAGCATCCCCCAAAACCTAATAGTCGACCCTGATATCGATTTAATCTAAAAAGTTAAAAAAAGTCGGGGCCCGGGGGCCCAATCCCAAATTCGATATCATTTTCATAAAAAGCGTCCCCCAAAACCTAATAGTCGACCCTGATATCGATTTAATCCAAAAAGATAAAAAAAGTCGAGGCCCGGGGGGCCCAATCTCAAATTCGATACCATTTTCATAAAAAGCGCCCCCCGAAACATACTAATCGACCCTGATATCGATTTAACACAAAAACTTAAAAAAAGTCGGGGCCCGGGGGCACTATCTCAAATCCGACAGCATTATTATAAAAGTCAAGTGGTGTAAAAAAAAAAAAAAAAATGGTCCCCAAAGTTGATTAAATCCAAATTATTTTAATAATTCTTTATTTTTTCGATTTACATTAATATCGATACTATTTTAAAAAACTATACCCCCATAAGATAATAATGGACTTAAACATGGAAGAAATATTAAATATTCTACTCCTGTAATTTTTATAATGAAATACTCGATTACTTTGAAAAGTACTCAGAGTAAAATATTCCCGAGTAGATTTGAAAATAGAAAGTACTCACGAGGACAGCTGATTACTTTTTGTACTCGTCAATCATGAGGTCGAGTAGTGATTGAAGTACTCGATACTCGAACCGGGCGAGTATTTGAGTAAATTACTCTGTAATTGTACTTTTTACTCAGAGTACAATTTTGCCCATCTCTACTATTATTTATGTACTTTATTTCAATAAGATTTTGACTACTACTTGCATTAATTATTTTTTAGTCTTCTGTTGACTCTTCATAAGATAAAGCAATTTTTACTATGTCTTCCAGCTTTTTATGTTCTAAATGTAATAATGTTTCGCGAAGTAATTCAATTTGGACACCACAGATAAATATACTCTTAACTAAATCGTCTTTAAGAGGCCAAAATTCAGTGTTTGATTTTTCAGCTCGGTTATATAATGCTCCAATGACTCTCCTTCCGTTCATTTTCTGATGTAAAATTTATATCGCTCGAATTCAATGTTCTTTTTTGGTTGAAAATGTTTTTCAAATGTATCAAGGAAGGATTTTATAAGTGTTCAGAATTTGAACTCTTATCAAACATGTTTTAAATTCTCAAACCTTCGTCACCGATCAAATGAAAAAGCTGAGCACATTGTTTTTTCTGATTTTTTTTTTTTCAACTCAGTTACTATAATATAATTTTCAAATTTCTGTCGCCAAAATTTCTAATTAGCCAGGTTTCCAGACATATTAAAGTTTTGAATGACTTTTTCTGCCATATTTATCATTTATTTTCATCTTCAATTTTCCAATAATTAAAAACAACACTTTAAGCCCAAAAACGTACTATTTTCGAGATAATGCAAGGATAGGGTTCGCATCCACACAACCTTACATTAATTGCAGTACTGTCATCAAATATATGTCTCATTTCGTCGACTGGAAATCTCTATGATCGAGAGAGGAGGAGTTTATATTATTTATCGATGGTGTTTTTGATCGGCAAGCCATATCATCGTTAATTTTTCATCAAACTCAAGATTGAGCCACCAATTATTTTCTTTTCCTATTAATTTGGCATTTGATAATAATATGCTGTGCGAGTTTTTCGCACAGGCCTATTAGTTATCAATATTGCAATGAGTGTCATTATAAAATAGCATCATTGAAGGCAAAACTGAGTATTATAGCCCCAGATCAGTGACAGACTGGGTTATGTTTCATCTATATGTGCATAGACCCAGTGGCTCGTTGCTCATTCGGAGCGTGATCTTGCACGCCCCTCCGTTTGTCCCCGAGCCTCATTCAGGGCAGTGCTCCAGTATATATATGGCTTTAGATTTCAAGGTATCTTATCGTATAAATCAAAAAAAATTTTGAATTTTAATTGAATTGAAAAATATCTCTGGCTAAAACTTTTCATCTTAAACAAATTCATCAAACTTTAGAAAACTAGTATTCTTATTGCTTTAATTCAATTGAATATGCATCAAGAAATACTGTCCATAGTGTGACTAAATTTATTATATTGATTTAGAAAGTGGACTAATTATGTTGTTAAATATAAATAAAAAAAAATACTAAATACTGTTGATGTGCATATGTTTCCTTTTATTAATTATTTATTTTGTTTTCTGTTATAGAGTTGTCATTTATGTGGTCTATCTGGAGGAGCTATGAAAAAAAGTGTTGATTATGGTTGGGTACATATCCAATGTGCTACCTTCCTCCCAGCTTCTCAATTGAAAATTCATGGAATAAAAAATACCCCTATGAAAAGTTTAATTACTAACAGACCAGTATGTAGTATTTTCATTTTTTTATTTTTATTTTTATTATTATTTTTTTTTTATTTGATCTAATTGTGTGGTGAACTAAATAATGTTAGATAAATTGAAATCAGTAACCCACTAACTGTGGCCTTCCGTTGTCAGTCAGTACATTTAATGTTTTATATTTTGTCCGGGAGTTGGCAATTTTTTTATTACCTCATAAGCAGTAGAATATTTGACTATTTGATATGGGTGATCTCATCATTTAGTTTGAAGAAAATTTTTGTCTGACAGTTTCTCAGCATGTTTGCGTTGCATTATTAGTTCCTTTAATTAAAATTGCATTATAAGTGGCATAGGATTATTTTATTTGCCAGACAAATATTTTTGGTTATTTATCCCTTCCAGATAAAAAGGAATCCAAAATATGAAAATTTTAGCTTATACAGGGTCGCGACTGATTTGGAATAATAGAAAAAGTCAAGGATTTTTCATAACAGGGAAAAGTCTGAACTGAAAATTTTTTAAGTCTGGGAATATTTTTTTCAAATTGGAAATAAATATTCAGCGGATACCGTTTATAATGAATGACCCTGAAGGAGTAAACTTCATTGTTAAAAATGACCATGGTCGCTATATTCATCCACCTTTGACTGTCAATTACGAAACTTGTCGTTGTATTGAAATCAAACAAGGGTAATGAATAAAGTTTAAGCAAAATGGAATTGAAACTGTGCTTTTTTGAAGAGAAAAATGTACCAATACTATTTAATATTTGTAATATGTACATCTGGGTCAAGATATCGCTGGCAAGCACTCATTTGTTCGACCCATGGTGCTCCATAAAAGAGCATTTATTAACCAGAAATGTCACAGTTGTGATTATGATGTCATATTGGTGATTATTATGCTGTTTATAGTAATAAAGAAACTAAATTAATATTAGAACTTTAATTTATAATAGAGAAAATCAAAGCATCCGACTAAAAAAAATTTTAAGTTCACTATATTAAAAAATTCTTAGGCTTTGAGCAGCACATGTGACAGTCATTTTCAAATTTTGTTTTGAGGCAGCTGTTTTACTCAAAATATTTCTCTTTATTTATAAGTATTTTTTCGTTTATGAAATGTTTGCCTATGCTAAGCACCTTTTAGCAGTCTTAGAGCTACATTACTAACTAAATCTTTTAAGGTTATTGAATTGATCCAGTGTTAGATTTATTCATGAAAATATCATTAAAAAGAATTAAAGAATTAGCACAGGTATTACACGACTTTGTTGTGTAGGGATGTGGCGACCCCCATCATCCAGTCAACTGACTGCAATCAGCCACTGGACCTTCAGGTTATGGAAAACCCAGTGCTGGGGATTCTAACTCATAGGGGACATAAATATTCAAGAGGCCAGTTGTCCCGAGGATACAAAGTCTCTCCTACTGGACCAATCACCGATAGTAGATCTCAACTGATTCAAAGTACATCAAATGGCCTTCGATTCGGACAGTCTGGATGGTTACGGCACGACGCTCAAATTATGGTGGTGAAAAGGAGGAGAAGTCTATGAATTCAATGAAGGCGCTGGCTCGGGATCGGGAGGCTTGGCATTCCTGGATCGGACGCTGAGAGGCACAAAGGAGCACGAAAAAAAGATTATACGACTTCTATACTGACAAAAAGTATCAACGCAAACCAAGCCAAATAATCTTATTTAAAAAAATAATACTGCATAATAGTCTTATACTAAATGAGGTCTAATTGTATACTAATGTATATATATTTATGCACAATTATAATTGTATGATTGTAAATGTTATTACTAGAGACCAGATTTTTGTGCAGTAAAAACTCAAAATGTGCAATAAAAATCCAAAGTACATCAAATTGTGTAATTAACATCTAAAAATGTGCAAAATCATCAATATTGTTTAATTTATAATATATGACTGTGCCAGCACATCTGCTGATTGTCAATAGTTATAATTGACAGGTGCGGATAAATATATGTAAGTGCAAAAAAAAAAAAAAATTTATAATATTAATACATCGAAATCTTATCAGATCTTAAATTAAACAAGAGATAAAAAAGATAAATAATAAATTAAAATGTAACATTGAAAATGAAATTCTAGATTACAAACAACAACAATATATAATATAATACATCAATAAAAGAAAGAAAAATTTTAATTTATAACTACAACAAAAATTTCAAGATACAAAACAAAACCCTTAGATGAAACATCTACAGAATAATATCTCAATAATCAACAGACATGCCCCGGCTACTGGGCGGGTCCACAGGTGGCGGATAGTGGAACGGCCTGCAGATATGCAGGTTAGCTGCGAATAAGGGTCACCAAATAAGCAGTCCTGGACCACGGGGGGACTGCATCAGCAGGAGTGGGTGTCTGGCCATTGGCAAGATCAGGTGCATTAAAATATCACAATCCAATGACGATGCTGTGACGTGGCGAGTAAGTGTCGCCACTAAATATGCACTGCCCCGTACTGCCTTGTACGGTTTGGGAGAGGACCTATAAGGCTAGGTGAAGGGATTCCGAAAATAAACCAGGGGTGTTCTGGACTCTAAGCTATCGTAAAAGCAACCAGACTAGGGGACGGAAACCCCAAAATCAAATAACCCGATCCTCCAGGTTGGGGGTTGGGTGTAGGGCCAACAACCCTACCTTGTAAAAAACAAACCCGTTATGAAACCTATAAATAGGTTAGAAACCTATAAAAGACAAACCTATGCTCCAACCTGGAAAGATGGCAGAGGTAGCGAAGCAGATATTAAAGTATAAAATAGACATTCTGGCTTTACAAGAAATTCGATGGAACGGAGAAGGCAGAATTGATAAGAAGGATTATACGATGATGTTTAGTTGTGAGAAGGTCAAGAAGGGAAGAAATGGTACTGGATTCATTGTGGCAGGAAAAGCAAGACGGAGTGTACTATCATTTGAGCCTGTTAATGCAAGGATCTGCAAAATGAGACTGAGGGGAAGATTTAGGAATGTCACCTTAATATCTGTGTATTCGCCAACTGAGGACAGTGAGGACGAGATAAAACTCGACTTCTATCAGGATCTTGAGAGGACTTTTTTAGCAACTCCACGTTATGATATGAAAATTGTTTTGGGTGATCTGAATGCACAAATAGGAAAAGAAAGTTTTGTTGGTGCAGTATCTGGTCGATTCACGATTCATAGTGAGACAAATAATAATGGAAAGCTTCTTTGTCAGTTTGCAGAAGCCAATAATATGGTCATAAGGAGCACTACGTTTGATCCCAGAAATATACATTTAGGAACATGGAAATCTCCAAACGGAGCAATTACACAGATTGATCATGTATTGGTTCAGAAAAGGCATGCAACGTCAATTATTGATATCAGATCAGCGAGGGGACCAAACTGTGACTCTGATCATTATATGCTTAAATTGAAGCTTAGACAGCGTCTTTCAGTAATAAGAACTGATCAACGGCACTGTAGGAAAAGGTGGGAGATTGATAAGCTGAAAGACCCTGAGATTGCTGAGAGATTTTAGACATCACTAAATAGGAATCTGATAGACAGTCAGGAAGATGAGGAGGAAGAATGTGTGGACAAAAAATGGAAGAGAATTAGAGGAGCTTTTGAAAAGTCAGCTGAAGAGGAGATAGGTGAGAGGAGTAGGCAAGGGAGTGAGGAGTGGTTTGATACTGAATGTCTTGAGGTCCTGCGTGAAAGAAATCAATGTAGGACGGTGATGTTCCAGCGCTCTACAAGAAAAACTTCTACAGTATATAGAGAAAGTCGGAAAAAAGCAAAGAAGGTTATTCAAAATAAGAAACGGGATTTTATGAAAAAAAAAAGTGGGGAGCTCCCGAGTTCTAGATAGATGGGAAGAGCACTACACAGAATTGCTCAACTCTGGTGGTGGTGAATGTATGGTTGGTGGTGATGAGGAGGGGTGTGTTGATGACCTGGAGCCATTGTCTATAGAAGAGGTGGCTGAGGCGATTGAAAAATTAAAAAATAACAAAGCACCGGGGGAGGATATACTGGTCGCGGAATTCTTTAAGTACGGAGAAGAACAATTGATAAGACAAATGTATGTACTGTTGGATCAAGTTTGGAGTGGTGAAATCATTCAGGAGTGGTGCACCAGTCTGATATGCCCGATATATAAAAAAGGAGATAAACTCCAATGTGAGAATTACAGGGGCATTTCTCTATTGGCTGTAGCCTATAAAATTTTTTCCAACATCCTCTCTGTGAGGCTCAACGTATTTGCCGAGAACATACTGGAGGAAAACCAGTGTGGATTTCGGAAGGGGAAAGGAACAACTGATCAGGTCTTTGTGATGAGACAGATAATGAAATATAAGATTGACCTACATATGCTGTTCATAGATTACCGGCAAGGTTTCGATAGAGTAATAAGAAGCAAATTAATAAATGCCTTATATGAGTCCCAAATTCCAAAAAAATTAATAAGGTTATTGCAAATGACTATGAATAATAGCAATGCAAAAGTATTTATTAAAGGCAATGTAAGCAATAGCTTTCCAATGAAGGATGGGGTTAGGCAAGGGGATAGCAATATTGAATATGTTGGGCTGGAAATCAATCAAGATAAGACAAAGTACATGTATGTCGGAGCCGACAATGAGGCTGGTCCACAGAGCATTGAAATATGTGGTCTTACCTTCGAATGTGTCAACAAATTCACATACCTGGGAGTGGAAGTGAATTCTGAAAATAAAATTGCTGCTGAGGTGTACAAGAGGATCATGGCTGAAAACCGGGCGCACTATGCCAACCTAAAATTTTTTCGATCATCGCTCCTGTCATGAGAAAAACAGATAAGACTTTAGTAAGACCTATTGTGACTTATGCAGCGGAGATACCCTTTGTAATTAGTATGATGAATATTTTTGAAAGAAAAATATTGAGAAAAATTTATGGAGCTGTTTGTGAAGAGGGTGTGTGGAGATATAGAAAAAATGCGGAGCTATATGAATTATATAATAGCCCCAACATAGTTAATTTCGTTAAAATTAGGCGTATGGAATGGTTAGGCCACCTGGTTAGAATGGGCCACAGCAGGATGCCTTATAGGACATTGTTCTCTACGATGTATGGCACAAAAAGAAGGAGAAGACCAAGAAAAAGATGGCTACAAGATGTTGAGAGCGACCTTGGAACACTGGCCATGAGAAATTGGAAGAAAAGAGCGAGCAATAGGGATGATTGGCATGCTATGATTCAGGAAGCCAAGGCCCACCCTGGGCTGTAGAGCTACATAGTAAGTAATTAACAGACAAATAATCGAATATATTTGTTTGAATTATCCTTAAATCGGTTAATTGGTCAATTATCTGACATGCAAGGAATGAGATAATGCAGAACATTTAAGGTGTGAAGGAAGAAATTATAGGTACCTATATGTTATATAGATCAGACCAATTTTACATATTTAACTTTTGTTAAAAATAATTTGGAAAACATTAAATGGAGTTGAAATTTCTTGTATATATACATTCCAAAACTTTTTTAATTAAAATTTAAAGAATTTTTAATAAACTTTAGGAATACACTATCATATATGAGATTTTCATGTGTTTAAATATTAGTGTTGAAGCTGGTTTTCTAAATCACTAAAAAAAAAATAGTGGGGATTATGTTCTTTCTAAAAACAAAACAAGAAACATTTAATTTAAACATTTTATTTAATCTTTGATACTTAGTGATGGGCTCTACTGTCTGAGGTGGACCTTGGCCTCCTTCATGATTTTTTTCCAAGCCTCTCTATCTTTCATTCTTATCCTCCTACTCACCACTCCCATCCTTCTTAAATCCTCTTCCACGTCACTTTTCCAACATTTTCTCGGTCCTCTTTTCCTTTTTCCAGGCTTATCTTTTGTCTTTGATAGGAATATTTTTTTCTTACCTGTTCTACAATGAGCATCTATCAGTGATTTCCTATCATACCAGCTTGATTTTTCATGAGGCGTACTGAACTTTCTTATCAAATTTCATCTGGTGTATTTTAATGAGAAATTAAATTTTACTTTCAATACTTATTAATTTTTTTTTTTAAATAATGAAATTACTAAAAATTAATTCAAAGCTAGAAGCTATACTGAAGGGCTGAATGAATGAGTGAGAATTCATTAAAAAAAATAACAATAAATGTCTTACTTACAAAACAGCTTATTATAGAAAAGCAGGTTTTTATTATCCAATACTTTAGGCAAGTTCACTTGCGGATCCAGGATTGAATTTTTTTGTTTATGCTTCTTTCTTTTGTAATGTTAAATTTGATTTTTGATTGTCACAGGAATATTTACCTTCCTCATATTTTTCTATCTTCAATAATAAATTTAATTTGAACAATATAGTAAAATAAAAAAGTAAATATTAACACACGCATATACTGTAACATATTTTATTAGGGCCTTTATAAATTGTAATTGTTAACAGAATTCATGTTCATGTTTTGTTCTTTTATTATTTTTTAACTGTGTGAAAAGAAGCATTTATATGTAATATATTTATAAATTCAATTTATTGATAGGTATTTTATTAATTTTAGTTGTTACTTAATTTGAAATTATAAAAACAATAATAACATTTAACTAGCGATTAAGATTAAAGGTTAAATAGTAAATGACTAGTGGTATGGTGTTTTGGAGGTTGCGCGTGGCGCCCTCTAGGGGTTGTTCTAATGAACTAATTCATTCATTTATGCAAGTCATTGTTTTTTCTAATAATGATTAATAATTTTAGTAGCGCAACCTGTTAATTGCCTAGTGAACTCTGAATTTTTTTTTAAGCTATTTATTATTTCCTTTTGTAAATAACTAATGTTTGTAATATTTTTAAAATAAGTATTCATGAACTATAATTAAATAAAAATAAAAAGAGTATGGACTTAGAGATCTCAGGGCCTAATTAAAATAATTGTTACTAGTGTTGCCTCTCACAGGTCTGAGGGCTCACTATTAGTATAAATAATAGGCAATCCCTATTATTTGCCCCTAGGGCAGGCACTCTCTCCCGAGTCACTACCTTCTCCTCACAAAGGCTCCTGGTATCTCTATGTCTGACAGTTTGAAACCACACCAATGTGTTATTTTTTGGTTTTACCTTCCTCCCTCTCTGTTCTCTCCTAACCTACCTCCTCTCTCCTTTAGTAGGAATAACTTGGTTGGCCCTTGTTTTCCTACAGTCCCCCTTGCATCTTCCAGGTTGTCCCTGGGAGTGTAGGGTTACCTATCCTCGCAATGTCAGGGGATTGCCTCCTCGGTTGCTGAGCCCTGGATGTGTAGGGGTTGTCCCCCTATCATTCTTGGCGGTCTTACCTTATCCTATCCTCGCAACTTCAGGGGATTACCTCCTCGGTTGCTGAGTCCTGGATGTGTAGGGGTTGTCCCCCTACATTCTTGGCGTTCTTACCTTACCCTATCCTCGCAACGTCAGGAGATTGCCTCCTTGGTTGCTGAGCCCTGGATGTGTAGGGGTTGTCCCCCTATCGTTCTTGGCGGTCTTACCTTACCCTATCCTCGCGACGTCAGGGGATTGCCTCCTCGGTTGCTGAGCCCTGGATGTGTAGGGGTTGTCCCCCTATCGTTCTTGGCGGTCTTACCTTACCCTATCCTCGCGACGTCAGGGGATTGCCTCCTCGGTTGCTGAGCCCTGGATGTGTAGGGGTTGTCCCCCTACATTCTTGGCGTTCTTACCTTACCCTATCCTCGCAACGTCAGGAGATTGCCTCCTTGGTTGCTGAGCCCTGGATGTGTAGGGGTTGTCCCCCTATCGTTCTTGGCGGTCTTACCTTACCCTATCCTCGCGACGTCAGGGGATTGCCTCCTCGGTTGCTGAGCCCTGGATGTGTAGGGGTTGTCCCCCTATCGTTCTTGGCGGTCTTACCTTACCCTATCCTCGCGACGTCAGGGGATTGCCTCCTCGGTTGCTGAGCCCTGGATGTGTAGGGGTTGTCCCCCTACATTCTTGGCGTTCTTACCTTACCCTATCCTCGCAACGTCAGGAGATTGCCTCCTTGGTTGCTGAGCCCTGGATGTGTAGGGGTTGTCCCCCTATCGTTCTTGGCGGTCTTACCTTACCCTATCCTCGCGACGTCAGGGGATTGCCTCCTCGGTTGCTGAGCCCTGGATGTGTAGGGGTTGTCCCCCTATCGTTCTTGGCGGTCTTACCTTACCCTATCCTCGCGACGTCAGGGGATTGCCTCCTCGGTTGCTGAGCCCTGGATGTGTAGGGGTTGTCCCCCTACAATCTTGGCGGTCTTACCTTACCCTATCCTCGCGACGTCAGGGGATTGCCTCCTCGGTTGCTGAGCCCTGGATGTGTAGGGGTTGTCCCCCTACCGTTCTTGGCGGTCTTACCTAATCCTATCCTTGCAATGTCAGGGGATTGCCTCCTCAGTTGCTGAGCCCTGGATGTGTAGGGGTTGTCCCCCTATCATTCTTGGCAGTCTTACCTAACCAATCCTTACACTGAGATCCAATCTCTCCTAACCCTATACTTCCTTTCTCCTTTCGTAGGAATAACTTGGTTGTTCCTGGTTTTCCTATAGTCCCCCTTGTGTCTTTCAGGTTGTCCCTGGGAGTGTGAGGTCACCTATCCTTGCAACGTCAGGGGATTGCCTCCTCGGTTGCTGAGCCCTGGATGTGTAGGGGTTGTCCCTCTATCATTCTTGGCGGTCTTATTATACCTTATCCTTCTTATCCTATCTAAGCTTATACACCCCATTCTTACAAACTTAAATAGATACACGAATACCAGGTTAATTGACTAACAGAAAGATTAAAGGTTAGAAGGACAGATTTCAGATTTTAAAAGACAAACGTCGGCAATAACAGACAGACAGAGAGATAAATACAAATATTACAATACATTTGTATTTAATTTATCACAAAAGTGGAATTTTTTGCAATAGAAAACTTAAATATGTTACAACGTTGAAACGGATAGATATTCGGGTCCAGAGTTTTTACATGCAAGCGAATAAAATGTGCAATAACATGGAAATTCAGTCTCTTGTTATTACTTTGTGGCTATAAAAAAAAATTATATTATAAATTCTACCTTTTTGATATTTTCATTTTTATCGTGAGGTCTTAAGCACACATCAGTTTGTTTCACAGTTGTATGGACAACTCTCCAAGGTAAGTGCTAATATTTATAAAAGCCATTACTTCGAATTACCTGATTGGTCCAACCAATTAAGGCATTTGGTCAGATCATGTGCCAGACTCTTCAGGGTAATCTTAAGACTGAAATAAATTATTTTATAGTCTTCTCGCTTATGGCATAAGTTAGCCAATATTTTCATATTTTTCTATCTAGAAGGGGTAAATAACCAAAAACATTCATATAAACGTCGGCACTAACACAAATTTTATAATGACTGTGTCCTGTATATTTATTAACCTTTGTCTGGCAAGATATTTCCTGAATCAGCTCTATCACTACAATATTTTCATCTAAAAATTTCTTTTGGTGCTTATGATGTAATTTTGTTTTTAATTTTTAACAAATCTGAAAAATGCAAAGACTATAGCCATCATAAAAAGCTGCTGACAGACAAAATTTTTCTTCAAACTAGAATTATGAGATCTTCCTAATTTCCTAGTCAAACCTATTTAGTCTAATTTGATTGCATTAATACTTCATGCATGCATTAATAGAAGTAGAAGTTTTATTTTTTAATTAATGATTCCTGTGTTAATATGAATTGCATTTTTATTTTCAGTGTTTCATATGCACCAAACCACAAGGAACTGTTCCATGCTGTGATACAAAATGCGGTTTGTGGCTTCATGTTACGTGTGGTATGATCACAGGTGTTAGAATATGTCCAAATCTTTGGCCTGGAACAAGATTTCTGGTTACCTGTTTGAGCCATTCTCATGTTCACAATACGGTAATATTTTATTCTAATGTTGGAGAAACTTGACACTAATTTTGTAACCATTTTTTTTTTTTTTTTTTTTTTTTTTTTTTTTTTTGTTTTTTTTTTTTTTTTTTTTTTTTGTTTGCTTAATGTGATCTACTAGGATAGATCGTATTAACAAAAAAAAAATTGTGTTTCATATAAATTTAACTGAGTACTTAGTAATAATAATTTGGTAGCTGATTTTTTTTTTTTTAAAATATGATAAATTTCTTTACTAGTTATTTTTATTTCGCTCTCGTGTGCCTATAAAATTTTGTCTAATGCCCTGTTCGAGAAATTAGTCTCATATTGTAATCATCTACAAAAAATTATCAGTAAGGATTCAGAAAAGGACATTCCACCATCGACCAGATCTTAAGTTGTGGATGATTCTGGTAAAGGCTGTGGAACATAAGCAGACCATTCAGTATCTCTTTTGTCGACTTTAAGTCGCCGCCATATGACAATATCGGTAGAGAGGAATTGTTCAAGGTCCTTGGAGAGCTTAAAGTCTCAGGAAAACTCACAGGACTTTTAAAGATGACCATGAGAAATTCAAAATGTGCATTTCGTGTAGTGTCAAATCTTTCCAAACTATTCAAAATCAGTTTCACAATATGTCAAGGAGATGCCCTTGCTTGCCTCCTATTTAATCTGACATTAGAAATGACTGTCTGAAAATCAAAAATTCAAACAGGCACTATCTGTAATAGAACTGTACAACTGCTAAGATAAGCCAATGACTTTGACATCATAGTGAGGTCAGAATAAGCATTGAAGGAGGTATTTATTGCTTTTAAACAGCTGCTAGGCAGTTTGATCTCACAGTCAATGTTGGTGGTGGAGACCATATCGCATTCCAAGACATAGGTCCCAGAGAGTGGAGAGTTTTGTGTACCAAGGGTCCGAGATCAACTCCTGGAACTATGTATCTTAGGATGTCAGGTGGATCAATGCTGTCGCTCGATGCCTCCATGGTCTGTTTAAGCATTTCAAGGGCAAGAATCTTTCCTCCAGTACAACAATCAACCCATACAAGCTCCTGGTATATCTAGTGCTTACCTATGGGTCAGAAGCCTAGGCAAACAAAAACAGGTAACTGATATTTGAGAGACAGGTGCTATTCGCGATTATTCGGTGCAGAGAGGGAGAGGTCTGGAGGAAAAGAAAGAACAGAGATCTCTGTAATGTCTTTAAGAATGACGACATCATCCAGGTTATAACACTGTGATGATTTTGTTGAGCTGGTTATGTAGTTTAGAGGGCTAACTTCAAGACCCCAAGGGAAGTGATAACTGAAGAATTGCATCAAACAAGAAGTATAGGGTGACCAAGGACAAGATTTCTGGATGGTGTAAAAGTGGATACAAGGAACTTACTGCTGGGGAGCAGGGTAGCAAGTGGACTGAAGTATCTGTAATATAAGCTTTGCCTGCCAACCTGATAACCTGAAGATTATGAGTTAGACTCCTGGTGACGTGGGACTCGATAGTTTTTACACTTGCATTAATGCCTCGCCCCCCCCCTCCCCTGACACGAAAAAAATACATATTTTGTCAAAAAGACAGAATAGGGGTGAAGAGAGCGTAAAAAAAAAAAAAAATTGCTGAACAACCAGAAGTGGACTGCCACAGTACAGGACAAATCTGGCTGGCAGAGGCTGTTCGTAAAGGCATAGACTCGCTAGTGGGTTGCTGTGCCGATTATGTATGTTTGTATTTATTTTTATTTGAACTCTAAATCAAATTTCTGAGATCATGGCTTAGTGTTATGAATAATAATATCTAGAAAAAAATACTAAAAAACAAACAACTTGTTAATAGATTACACTGAGCAACAACAAACTAATTTTTTAATGTTTCCAGCACTTCATAAGTTAGTTCATACTAATTTTGGGTTGAGAAAAACAAATCTGACAATGAAACATTTTTCTTAGCTCTAGTTTCTGTGATGTACCTAGTCTGCCATAAATACTGTTAAAAAGTTGAACTTTTTTTTATATCCTTGGGTATTATTTAGTTAATCCTTACCTCTATCGGGTCAGGATAATAATACCAATTAGTTTGTATTTTTTTCACTCGGTTAACATGGAGTGGACTGATAAAGAAAACTGAATAGCGCTGTGATCACCTTATACAAAGTTGGAAAATGTAGGTCAGAGATTTTCAACACTTTGAAACCTTTGGTTATCAGCCGTACCGCAATATGAATAGATATAATGAGACCCTATCTGAATGTGACAGACCTCGACCAGATTGTCCCCACACTGTGAGAATGGCAAATGCAGTGAGAGCAGTAGCTGCTCAAATCAGAAGAAATCCCATTTGAAAACAGCAAATCATGTCTCGGGGAATTAGATCTCTGTCACATTAATGTTTCGCATAATAAAAAGTGACCTTAAGATGGGTACATTTCGAAGAATGATAGGACAAAGGCTAACCACTTCCCTAAAAAAAAAATTAGAGTGGGTAGATACAAAGTGCTCCTTGGCCATTATACCAATAGTCTTCATTGAAAGATTTTGTTTACCTATGAGAACATTTTTACAATTGAAGAAAAATTTAATTGCCAAAATGAACGTGTGTACGCACACAGCTCTAAAAAAGTCCAGGAAGTCATTGGAAGAGTGGAAAGAGGTTTTCACCTTTCCTCAGTGATGGTTTGTTAGGGAGTTTGCTTTGATGGCACCATAAAGCTCCATTTTTGTGAGAGAAAAAAAAAGAGTTATAACAGCCACTAAAAACTACCAGGACAAAATTTTGGAACCTGTTGTCAAGTTTCTAAATGAACCTCTGTTTGCTGGAAGTCATTGGGTTTTCCAGCAGGATTCCGCTTCAGCTAACAAGGTCAGGTAAACTCAGCATTGGCTGCAAAATGGGCCTGTTTAAAGGTAAAATGGGGACATTTTGAGTAATTTTTTTTTTTACTCTCTATAGATATACATTTTATTTTCTAATAAAGTTTTTGAAAAAATTAATTTTTCTGTTGAAATCTGTATATATTTTCTTGTAACAATATTTATACAGGACTAGGTGAAAGTATTTCATATTAACGGGTTAAGAGAAAAAGATACATTTTAATTATATGTGCTAACAACTTGAAAGTCCATTTGATTTTTCAAAATGTTAGTTACATTCTAAGTGTTCTAAATTACTGAAAGAATATCTCGCAGATGGTCGTGCCTGAAGAGTTTTTGTGGTGTCTTCATAAGATTGTCATCTTTTAGCTTGCGTCTTGTAAGGGAGTTCCAGAGCATCCCTACACAAAGAGCAACAGTAATCCGCAAGCATTGCTTCAATCCAATGGCCCTGATATCCTTGTTCCAAAACAGAAATGTCCTGATGAAATCTTTCTCCATGTTCATCACTAACAGCTGTGGATCTGTTTTCTTGGTGAACTAGGAGGGAAAAAATTTAAATGGGAGTGGAGAAAATGGATTTTAAGGGACATGTTGTATTCAAGGTTATGGTACTTTTGCAGAAGCACTGTCACCAAATGTGTGCAGTTTTCATTTCTTTTGTTGCCTAAAAATCAACTAATAACTCCCTTCAAGGCTTCCCAAGCTTCTTTTTCTTTCACTTCCAAAACTTAGTCAATTTCGGAAATTTCTCTCTTTTGTACTTAAAGGCCCGTCGTTCTTGGTTTATATTTTGGATAAAATTTATTATGCATTATATATAAATTATGCAGGGGTGGAAGTAGAATATATTTTGGGTCCACGAGAGGCTTAGCAAGGACATTTTTCTCACTAGGGTTAAGATTTCTTGCAGGCCAGTCTCCTTTATATATAATGGAATTTCCTATCTCTGCTATCCCACATATATAAGAAGGAGCAATGTTTTGTATACCCCAGTTGCATTCATAAGAGTATGGCATGGACATTTAGATCACCACAGGTTTTCCATTTGTGTTCCATTGATATTTGAATGAGTCCAAGAGGGTTGTCATATTTGCAGACGTCTCCTTCATGTGAACAGCATGATCAATAGGAACAGAAGAAAGAAGGTAGCCATTGTGAAGTAAGACAGCTTTCATACTGAGCTTGGAGGAGTCTATGAATAGCCTCCATTCAGTTGGAACATGGTTCAAATTCAAAGATTTCATCAAGCCATTAATGTTGCAGCAACAGCAAGATTATTTTTCTTCTCAAAAACGGGGAGCAGTTCCCTGTGACGTCTGTACTCTGAGATTCTGACATCACTTTAGAGAAGTTTCCATTGCTGTAGTCGAGACCCAAGAATTTCTACCTTCTCCTTTGACAGGCCAAGGTCTCTAATGAGATCATCGAATTATGCTTGATTCAGTCTGTGTGGTTTATCATCTTTTCCCTCAAAATCAAGGTCAAGGGATGTGGAAGGCTTGTTTGGTTCTTCTTCTTGTTCCACACTGTCTTCATTTTTTACTTCAAACACACAATTTTCGGGTGGAGTAAGGACTATCTGAATGAAGAATGGGTTGAATGGCAGATTGATGATTCGGGTACTGAACTGTTCTTCTTTTCTTCATTGACAATTCTGCCTTAATAGGTGGAGTCAAGCAGAAATTGCGGTCATCTGTATGGTTTGTAGGCTCCTGCCAAACAATAGGCACAGCGAAAGCCATGTACTGTTTTTTTTTTTCTCATCCTGTAACTGAATATGTGTCGCAACATACATTTGGAGCCCAAGACTTATCCTGGTCCCCTACTTTCATACCGAAATAATGCTGATAGGCAGGTTTTATAAGGGGCGTCAGATTGTGTTTCTATGAGGAAAATGTTATTTCACCAGAAATATAACAAAAACTATTCATCATATTTACACATTTTCGTGTCATTTTTACGAATTTTACACTTACAAACAGCTGAAGAGCATTTGTGTTTTGTTATTTGACAGGTGTACCAACTCCCCCCTCCCCCAAATTGAAAATGTTGACTCTAAAAAATGAAATGTCACTTTAACTTCAAAGAAAGAGCTAATCTGTCATTTTTATGGTGATTTTTGAATTCA